ATAATAATAATAATAATAATAATAATAATAATAATAATAATAATAATAATAATAATAATAATAATAATAATAATAATAATAATAATAATAATAATAATAATAATAATAATAATAATAATAATAATAATAATAATAATAATAATAATAATAATAATAATAATAATAATAATAATAATAATAATAATAATAATAATAATAATAATAATAATAATAATAATAATAATAATAATAATAATAATAATAATAATAATAATAATAATAATAATAATAATAATAATAAATATATAATATAAATATAAGTTAGTATATATTAAATATTAAAGAGGCTAGTATTATTATTAATAATAATAACGAGGGTATTCTTAATATTATATTATTATAAATTATTATTAATTTAAAAGGTTATAAACTTAAATAAGTATATAAGCTTATAAAATAATAATATTTTATACTTAATATTATTATTAATTCGTAATTATAAACTTTATAAACAAGGAAAATAAAAAAATAAAAAATTATAAGAAATAGTTTAACGAGATAATAGGGTATTTATTAATACTATATATTAATATTATATAATTAATATTAAGAACTATTTAAGTAATTTATAAAAATAAAATTAAAAATTAAATAAAATAAACCTAAATAAAATAAACTTAAATAAATATAAAAATCGATTATAATAAAATTAAGCTTTTAAATATAATTATAATATATATATATATATATATATTTATTTTATAGTTCTATTTTTATAAATTACTCAAGGCGGTTTTTAATATCGGTTACATAGTATTAATATATAGTATTAGTAAATACTCTTACTATCTCGTTAGACTATTTTTATAGTTTTTTTCTAATAAAGTTTATAACTACGGATTAATAATAATATTAAGTATATAGCTACTTTATAAACTTATTACGTACTTAGCTAAGTTTATAGCCCTTTTAAATAACGGCCTTATAATAATAATATTAAAATACCTCGTTATTATTATTAATAATAATACCGATCTTATTAACGTATATTTTAATTTTTATATATATTATATATTCGTTATTTTATTTTATTTATTAAAGTTAAAACCTACTTCCTTATTATTTATTATTATTACTATCGCTATTACTATTTAATTATCTATTTTAAATATACTTTATTAAAATACTAAATTACTAACTTATTAACCCCTAGAGCTTCTTTAATAACTAAAAGTTCGATCCTATAACTATTATATTAAATAACTGAGCTATAAAAAGACCGTTTTAATAAATACTACTTCTATAATATTAATTTATAAAAATAAATAAATATATTATAATAAATATTACCCTTATTAATACTTTTTAATATAATATAGTAATATAAATAAGCCTAAGCTTAATAATATAATTAATAACTTAAAAAGTATAAGCGAGTATATTAAATAGGAGTATTAATAAGGAGAGGCTATTATTAAATAAAATAAAAAGAAAAATAAGAGGTAATATTTAGCTATTAAGAAGGCGATTAATATATTATAGCGGGATTATTAGTATCTTAGACTTAGTTAGTATTAGTAGCCGGCTATTATTAGTTATAAAGTTTATTAAGTAATATACGTAATAAAAACTCAATATTAACCCTCGTAAACTAGCTTACCTATAGGGCAAAAATAGCCCCCAATGAGGCGGGCCGACCCTAAGGGATATGGCGGGCCGACCCTAAAGGGATATATATATATATATATATATATATATATATATATATATAATATATATTCTAAATACGTCCTTAATAAGTATAACTTTATATTAAATAACTACTTTTATATATATTATATATATTATTTATTTTTTAATTTTATTTTTACGAATTGCTCGGGTAGTTCTTAATATTAGTTATATAATATTAATATATAGTATTTATTTATTTTATATTCTATCTTTACTAATCGCTCAAGGTTCTTAATATTAGTTATATAGTATTAATATATAATATTAGTAGATACTCTTATTATCTTAGTAAACTATTTTTTATAATTTTCTTCTACTTTTTTTTAACTTTCCCTCTTATAAAGTTCATAACTATAAATTAATAATAATATTAAGTACTCGATACTATTACTTTATAAGCCTACCGCGCACCTAGCTAAGTTCGCGGCCTTTTTAAGTAATAGTAGCTCATAATAATATCTAATAATACTAAAAATACCCTCGTTACTATCGTTAATAATAATACTAACCTTACTAATATATACTTCTAACTCCTACTCGTACACACATATACTATATATTCGTTATCTCATTTCTTTTATTAATATTAAAAACCGCTATAAATTATTACTACTAATTCCTCTAAATTAATAATTAAAATATTAAGATAAGCTATTATTAACCTATAGCACTACCTCCGTAATAAGAGGTTCGACCCTAAGGCTATAATACTAATTAATATTACCTTTTAAAAAAAAAAAATCTATAAGTACGGCCTTAAATAACTAAACCTAAAAAAAAACCTATAATAGTTAAGAAAAGAGTAAATTAGTATTACTATTATTAGGGTATTAGTTTTATAAAAGAGCTTTAATATCGATATTAATATCGATATTAAAACAGAAATCGATTCCTTAATATAGTTAAGGAATTATATAACTAAGCCTAGGCCGAGGAGTAGTTATTTAAAAAAGTTAGAGAATCTATAAAGGGATAAATTTAAGGAGTAGTTTTTAGCTATTTAAAAAGTAATTAGTATAGTTTAACGTATTCGCTAAGTTAATATAGTAGCTACAGCCGGCTATTATTAGTTATAAAGTTTGTTAAATAATATATATAATAAAAACTTAATATTAACCCTCGTAAACTAGCTTACCCGTAGGGCGAAAATAGCCCTTACTAAGGCAGGCCGACCCTAAAGGGATATAGTATTTATAAATACTCTTATTATCTTATTAAACTATTTTTTATAGTTTTCTTTTACTTTTTTAACTTTCCCTTTTATAAAGTTTATAACTACGGATTAATAAGTTATATATATTTATTTTATATTCTACTTTTACTAGCTACTCGGGCAGTTCTCGATATTGGTTATATAGTATTAATACATAGTATTAATAGATACTCTTACTATCTCGTTAGACTATTTTTTATAATTTTCTTCTACCTTTTTTTAACTTTCCCTCTTGCAAAGTTCATAACCACGGTAAGTTATATATATTATATATAAAATAAAATAAAAACTAAATTAAATTATTAAAAAAAATTATTATATAAAATTTATAATAGGGTAGTATTTAGTTATTGAGCTGTGGTGGTTATATCGGTCTTGTAAGGAATACTGCCGATAAAGTCAGCATATCACTTTAGCTCGTCAGGCTGTAGGCCGTCACGTAGCTATCTGGCACAGTACCGTTGGGGCTTATGACGGGTGGTTGGGGTTCTGTAGGCGTATTGCAGCGCCGGATCAATATCAAGGATGACAGAGAAAAAAAGCAATAACGTCTATTGGGAGGCGGCTCACGAGAAACTGCGGAAGCTCGTATATAAGCTCCAAGGATGCGTGGTTCTTGAATGAGCGCCAGTTGACAACGATCTCGTTCTTGCCCTCCAGCTTGACCTCAATGACATCGACGTACTGGTTGTGGCGAGGCTGCTCCTTGACAATGATCGAATCATGTTGTTTTTCCCATCTCCATGGGCAATTTGTGGAGAAGCGGAGTTACAACGCAGGCGTTGGCCTTCTTAAAGTTAAGCACAGTGATGGTGTCTTGTCTTCAATAGCGGTCATGCCGTATAGCAACACATCTTCAACCTGCTCGTTCATCAGATCAATTTCTCATCCAAAGTCTGGTACGTAACGTTCCTCACTCGGATAAACTGAAGATCGAAACAGGAATCTCACCGGTACCTCCGGCTGAGCACCAACTCATGATGGTAGCGTAAGGTGTTGACGGAAGGTAGAATAACTGGAGATTCTCAAGGAGAAGGAGGCCCAGCTGGCTGCGATGGGGCGAAATGCTGAATGAGGACAACCTCCCGAGCTATGCCAAGTCCAAGTAGTCCGTACTAAGCTAAATTTAGCCCGTACTTAGATATAGCTTTATATAACTAAAATCTATTTTATTCTTATTACGTAGCTAGAAAATTGATTAATATATTATAATAATATTATTAAACTCTCACGTTTAATTAATATTTATAATTATAATTAGTTCTTATTATTTATAAAGTTTATCATATATTAAAACCTCGATACTAATCTAAATAAAATTAGTTTAATTATATTATTTATTAAAATACTCTACTTTCATTAGCTATTTAGGTAGTTCTTAAATCTCTTTATATATTATATTAATATATAATATTAATAAATACTCTTATTATTTAAATAAATTATTAATAAATATACTCACAAGGGCAAAGTTCGTTAGTAAAGAAGCGGGCAAGACTTTATAAAATAAGGCTAGACTATATTATAATAAATAATTAAATAAAATAAAAGTATTCTTATTAAACTAGTTTAGTTAAAAATAAAATAAGTTATTATAAAAATAACGTTTTATTTAATAATAATTATTTTTAATAACCTATTTTTAGAACTATAGATTATTTAAATATTAATATAATTATAATATTAATATATAGTATTAATAAATACCCTTATAATCTTATTAAACTATTTTTATATTTTTTATAACTATATATTAATAGCTAAATTAAATATATATAAAATATAAAATATTATTAGTTTATTAGTCTTTAAACTAAACATTAATAATTTTCAATAGTCTTTTTTATTAAAATATACTCTAATAATACGACTATTATAATTATTTAACTTTATAGTATTGTAGTCAGAGCCCTTAATATAATTAAGGGCGAAATAAGACTCTTTATTAAACGTGGAATCTCTAAGAGGAGATTGGACGTTCCCCCATGCGGCTCTGCTAAACCTGATGCCTCAGGCCACAGCCGCCGATACTACGCCCCGGCCTGCACTTAGAACCATTACCATGCACCTCATTCGGTAACTTCGTAATCATCGACGCGCCATTGGCAGTCCAAACCCGTCCTATATTACGACCTTCACGGCCATACACTCATTCCAATCTCGAACGCGATTCTTTCCCCGGCCCAGAAGCAATCGAATTGATTTGGATCCATCGCCATGTCGACCCGTCAAGCGGCACTGTGAGCACCAACCCCGAAGCTGTCGAAGATGGACGACCCAGATTGGGCGGAGCCGTTATGCTGATAGTCATCACGACAGGTCGCTGTACCGGCGTTCGCTGAAGTTGGCTCTAGACTGGGCTGTTCATCGCCACCTCTGGAGAGGCCAAGCTTTGTACATCCGCTCGTTGTTCGAGGCCAACCGATCTGTGACGGACTCCAGACAGAAGAGAGTGAGTAATGCGCTCGGCAGACGTCGCAAATCAAACGAGCAACGACTGCTGACCTGAGCCTTCGCAGGAACTTTTGGCTCAGACAGAGAAATTGTTGTCGAAATGGAAGCACCCAGAGCCCTACGTGCATCCGACAGCACCCGGCGGTATGTCGTAATCTCTCCCCGACAAATGACAGCACTTCACGCATGGCGCAGACGATGCTAATAACGACTGCACAGGTTCCAAATTCGAGCGCAACCTCCGAGCACCTATCCTTGACCGTAAGTCCCCAATGTGGCGGACATTGCATCGATACATTCTGACAAAAACATAGCGCCACCCCCATTGAAATTCTAAGCAGCTAGCAAAGGCGTGGAAGGGAGAAAGACTGGGATCACACCGTACCCGACGTTTGGACTGCATAACATAGAAATGCAACCATGTGGAAGCTTCAGAATGCTATTTCGACAACACTGTGTCGGGGACTATGGACCGGGACACTTGATGCACAACTCTTACATACAAGCCCGGGATGGCTGATCCAAGCCAAGCGGAGGCTCACGCGCACGCAGTTCAGCTCACAAGCATAGCTTTCCCCCAGTCTCTCTATAAGTCTGTATAATACAACACCATCACCCGATTACAATAGCTTCAAGTCTTCATACCGCAACGAGTCGTGTGAGCGGCATCACGAACCTAATGGTCCTACCGACTGAGTCCCCCCTTTTGTTCTATTACACAAGAGGCAACACCCGAAAGTTCAAGGAGGGATATGCCTTGTTGACCAGCTTTGAGAATAGTAGCAATATGGACACGCTGTATACCATATATGCGTGTTTCTGTCCAATATTAGACTTCGCAGACAGTCGACAAATGGCGAAACGCAAAACGCAAACCGATCAGTTCTGAGTCAGTTTACAAATAGCGTTGCAATCAACCCAATGTGCAAAACATGATCTTCAAAAGGTATTCTCATTCGTAACCATAGCTTCCTGCCGTGGTATTATTGTACAACCCAAACGTGAAAATCAACCGTGAACCCTGAACCGTGACCCCGATGTCATGACAACCCAAAGCAGCCGACCAGCACGAAAAAAACCCAAAACCGACACCCGTTTACAACTCTTGGCTCTGGTTCTTGCCAGTCTTGCCAGTCTTCTTGGGCAGCAAGTCTTGAAGTATCGTTAGCGATTGCAAAGCAGGACCGAAGATGGGAGGTCAACTTACTCTGGTGAATGTTGGGCAGAACACCACCCTGGGCGATCGTGACGTGACCGAGAAGCTTGTTCAACTCCTCATCGTTGCGGATGGCGAGCTGAAGATGACGGGGAATGATACGGGTCTTCTTGTTGTCGCGAGCGGCGTTGCCAGCCAGCTCGAGAATCTCAGCGGCGAGGTACTCAAGGACTGCGGCGAGGTAGACGGGGGCGCCGGCACCGACACGCTGAGCGTAGTTGCCCTTGCGGAGCAGACGGTGAACACGACCAACGGGGAATGCGAGACCGGCCTTGGAGGAACGACTGGAGGATACAAGGTCAGTGGATGAAGCTTCAGCTCGGATCGGAGAACATCGAATCATAGAATAAATGCGGCCTTTTTTGTAAAGCTTCAAGTGAGAGGGAGCAACTTACGATTGCGCGTTCTTGGAACCGCTGGCCTTTCCGCCGGACTTTCCGCCTCCAGTCATTGTGAATTTGGGATTTGGGGTTGGGTTGTATGAAGAAGTTGGGTATTGAGGTAGACGCGTAAAAAGCGACTTGGCTGAAGGCTGGCTTTGAGTTGTGGATGGAAAAGTGAGATGAAGATGGAAGAAAGGGCGTTGATGGTGGGGAGTGAAGAAGTTAAGTAGTTTTCGCGTTAGAGGAGCTCGATCACGGATCACCAACGCGCGATTTAGCGCTAAGCCTAAACCAGAAATTCGATGTTGTGGTAGACTGGTGCAGGCAGGTGCGGTGCATCATTTTTCTGGGCCCGGGCTAGAAGACGGGTACGTACCTCTTATCAGTCCTGCTGTCGCCCACAGCAGTACCGCCTCTTTGGTGGCCGCAAGCTATAGATAAGCCTTAAGGTGGGCTGCCAGCCTGCCAGACGCGACTTCCATTCCATCCATGACAAAGACTCGCAAAAGCAAGGTAGCAATTGCGTCCAGATGCGATCAATGCAAGGAAATAAAACCCCCCGCGGTCCCGCTCCTCTTTCCACAAGCAGTGCCGGGACCTGCCCACGTCCCCTTCCCCCTTCTTAACTTTTTTTTTTTTTTTTAAATCCATTTCCACTTTCTGCATTTTCCCCCCTTCCGCGCAGCATTTTGGTTTTCGAATTATCTTACTGGCTAGGAGAAGCGGTCATCCAGCCACGTCTTGATCACCTTCTCTTACCTACCTATCAACCACCTTTCCCCTCGGCCTTATTATTTCTTGGACGAACCGCCACAACGAAATCAGTTGGGCACCTTACAGCTTATCGGACTGATGCGAAGCACTTTGTTTTTCTCTTTACTTTTATTCTTGATGATGCCGTGTGTTGTACAAGGTAATGCACCACAATATTCCATATTTCCCCCTCTCTTCCCCCACGTATGGCTCCAACCGATGTTTTCATCCCCAGAACAAAAGGAGCCTGAATTTCAATTCGAAATGTGATCTCTCGGAGAAGAGAATCGTCTTTTACGAGTTTAACATTCAGCAGAGGTCACCCCGAGGCATATTTACCAACCATGCTCGAACTTTGACGAACTTGTCTATTTTTAAATGAAGGACAAATGGGTTGCATCTCAACCACTTTACGCGATTTGTATGCTTCGCTATCTAGTGACATTTCGACCCCATATGACTTGCATTCAAATGGATCTCAGATCTACCGGAACCCGCTGTATAGCACGAACAGAGTCCGATACGTATGGTGCGAGCTCATGTGAAGAAGCCTATTGAGACCCAGGAACCTGGGCCTCACATGGTCCATCGTTCGGCTCCATCCCATATCGGGTCCGGAGAAATCTTCAAATCGACTGCCCCGCGTTCTGTTTGACCCCGTCGTAATCGAGGACAGAGCTTCATGGAGTGCCTGATACAGCGACCCCTGCATGCCACTCGTGGTGTTTCTACGGCAAACGGGCCCAGCCATGTAATGACATGGAGTGGAGGGGTCCCGATATGTACTGCAGAGCCCACCGCGTTACCTTCGATCGCGTTTCCACTGGGGGCCGCTGAATAGCGGACAGTGTTTCTCCTGCTAGATACACCATCCTGCAGGCCAGGTACTCCACGTCCAAGACCGCGAGCTCACGGGCATGCTTCCTTCATCTAGGGGTCGTTCTACCTGAGATCACAGGCGTGTATGGATCGCAATGAGCAGAGAATGTCACGGAGCCGCCCCGTCAATTCCCATAGAGCCATGCGGGCCTAGGCCCAAAAGAGACAGAAAGTCCAGGCACTGGCTACCTTAGCCGCACCCACCAGTCGCAAGACGCAAGCTGCAATCAACGCGTCGAAGAGGGTGCAGATTTCCTCAAACCCAAAGACTGCTCTCAGTGTCACACGTTCCACTGAATAATACAAGCGAGAAGTAGTTGCAGCGCGCAGTGTGTAAAAAGTCATGCTGCCTTCGTCCAGAGTCCTTAGCAACGTCGGGCAGAGTGGACCAGGTAGGCACATATTGAAATCTCCGAATGAGGCGACTCGGCGGCTCATTGGCATGACGACCCGAACATTCTCTGCGGACTGCTACAAGCCTTCTGCTCTCGACTTGCTATGGATACGGGTGTTGTAGAGATGCTATGTGACGCCTGTTGAACCTTAACCATCACTTCTTTCCGCACCGGTAGTCTTGAGGCGGCAGACGCCGTAGCCGATGGGTTCGCTGCAAGAGTGATACACATGTGATGTTGTAGCTTTGCAAACATCTCTGATCTGGCTTGTGGACTTTTCTTTAGCTTCTACGAGTCGCCAGTCGTCTTGGGCGGTACGGTGTATCAGTGAGTAAGTACGTGACCTGTTAGCTTTGCCTGACCGGGAGATTGTTGGTTGGCCTGTAATGGGACGCTGCTATTGGTGGGAGCCTGTTCTGGCAGTCTCGAATATCCCCTGCCTGCCAGCTCCATGATACGCGAATTAAAAAAAAAAAAAAAGATACATTGAGCGTCACGTATTTATTTTTTAGCGCGAACGCGTGAGTACCCCAGTTCGTTAGCCGCTCTCATGGGCGGTGGTTACGGATCCTCCATCTCTGGGCCCACCTACCCAGCTCTCAGCCAACCAAGATAGCCGATTCCCATTTTACCAGGCAAGGCCACACCAGCGCACGCCCCTGGCACCAGTCGTAAGGCCCCGGTGTGCCACTGATACTGACCACCCACCTGAGCCACCCCTCCCCAAAATCACTCTGTCCTCGCATCAAATCAGTAACGCCGCAGAAGCCCGTCGCGTCCAGCTACAAAAACCCAGCCCACCCCCCCAAACTTCTTCCTGCCACATCAACTCTTCCTCACTCCATCATCCAGCTTCATCCACGGTCGCCAGTCGCAATCCATCTCAACCAACTTACTCACGTACTCATTTTTCACCTTCACTAATCCAAACCGCAAAAATGCCCCCCAAGGCCGCCGACAAGAAGCCCGCCTCCAAGGCCCCTGCCACTGCCTCCAAGGCCCCCGAGAAGAAGGATGCCGGCAAGAAGACCGCCGCCTCTGGCGACAAGAAGAAGCGCACCAAGTCTCGCAAGGAGACCTACTCCTCCTACATCTACAAGGGTGAGTGGCGCCAACACTTCGCGTTCTTTGGCGCGTCGCGTCATTACGCGACACTACGCACCCGACATATTCTGACATGGTACTTTCAGTCCTGAAGCAGGTCCACCCCGACACTGGTATCTCCAACCGCGCCATGTCTATCCTCAACTCCTTCGTCAACGGTAAGCCTATATCACTCCAAATGCCTGCATGCATCGTTTCTAACGCGTCACACAGACATCTTCGAGCGCGTCGCCTCCGAGGCTTCCAAGCTTGCTGCCTACAACAAGAAGTCCACCATCTCCTCTCGCGAGATCCAGACCTCGTATGTCATCTATCCATGCCTGAAAACCGAACCAGCTAACCACTCCAATAGTGTTCGCCTCATCCTGCCCGGTGAGCTGGCCAAGCACGCTGTCTCGGAAGGCACCAAGGCCGTTACCAAGTACTCTTCTTCCACGAAATAAGGGTGCTTGTACTGCTTTTCTTTTCGGGCATTGGATTTTACTTGGCATTTGGGTGTCATGATGAGACCTGCCAAGGTTACCAATATCCTTGGGGTCTCTTAATGCGTTACGGATGGTTTGCTTTTTTGGGGGCAATGTCTTCACGGTCAAACGGGGTTCGCGGGTTGTACAATACACCTTGAGAATAGGGTTTTCGGACGAATGAAATCGTACACATGAACATCAACACAAGGCCTACTTTACTGCAAACGTGCCCCGGTGCACGCACCTGCTAAACTATGAATCCAGCACCCCCGGCTTCTTAGGAGCATCTTCAGCAAAGCAGCTTATAGCGGGCTGTCTTGGGCACGACATTGAACGCGCTGTTCCGTAAAGACACCGGCACCGGGATGTCCGTCGAAGCGTGTTATCCCAGCCCGGCCTTGCTACGCTTGACAACATGGGCGACAGGCTGCAGAATGCCTTTGTTGTTAATCGCGCCTAGCGCCGTACCGCTACTCCAGCCCATTTTTTCGAGCATCGCACGACCTTTATTTTCCTGGCTCAACTCAGGCGCGGAACCCCCGACGACCTCTCCATCCCGATAGGCGACGCCCGCGTGTCCACCACCGCCTCCCCTACGAGCCGATTGCCTCTGTACGGCAGCCCGCACTGCCGTATCGTTGCGAGGGAAGTATTTGCGGCCGACCCGAGCAATGGCTACATCGAAGATCTCATCGGCAAACTTGGCGGTCCTGAAAGTGCGGTGGAGCATGGGTCGCCTTTGGTCACCGGAACCTGTGGACTTGGACTTGATGTTGAATTTGCTGGCTAGTTCGTGAATCACCTTGCGAGCATGGTTGTCCATGGGCGGTAGAGTAAGACTGTGGTAACAAGTCAGCCTCCAATACCTTGAGTGCACTCAAAGTGTATGAAACTTACCTAGGTTGAGTGCCCAAGAGGAATGTTCTTAGCTCATCGGCGATTTGTTCAAGCCCCATCCCGTGGGGATATTTGACTCTGAGATCTTCCGGGTTGGCATGTTTACCCAATAATCCCATACTACGCATGGCCTGGCGTTCTTTCTTCCTCTCGGCCTTTTTCAAGCGATCGTTCTTCCACGCAGCTTGCATCTTGCCCTCTAGCTCTGAGTCCGAAATGTCAAACACGGGAACCTTGCCTCTGGCACCCTTGCTCTTCTTAGGCTTCAACGCTGGGCGGCTCCAGTCCATGAAGTCGAAATCGTCGATCTCATTCGCAAATCTATCTGCTGCTGATCTGAAGATGTCGTCATCGTCTTGGTCGCTTGAATCCGAGGGCGGCGATGCGTCTTCAGCAAGAGATTGCTCAAGTGATGCCAGGTAGGAAACGTCCGTCTCAAAAATTCCCATCAGTGCATGATCATCTTGTATGACTTTGCCCCTTTCGGATCGCCTCTGTGCAGTATGGACAGGTTTCTTGTCGCTTTCCTTAGGCGCTTTCCCAATCCCTGCAGTCGTATGTTCCGATTCACTGTTGACGCCTGATACATCCTCGGCCTTGCTCGTGGCTACGACGGTCTGGAACGAGTCATCGATGCCTTCAGACTCACTCAAAGAGCCGCCTATGTCACGGCGAGAATAGGCTTTCGCAGGTACCAGGGCTTCGTCTTCACCGTACTCCCTCATGTTGGCAATATAGTCAGCAACCAATTCGTCTTCCTCCTGTCGCTTTAAGTCTTTGGCGGCATTTCGACGAGATTTCTGTGTAGAGCTTCCGGCAGTCTTCATAGGCAGATCCCTGCTGCTGTCTTTGTTTGATTTGACGGTCTTTTCCAGGACGTTGATCTCGGTAGAGATGCCGCCCAGGTTGAAACTCTTTAGCTTTGATTTGGCCTTGGACTTCGAACCTTGCTTGTCTCTGGGAACATTGTTGCGACCTCTGAACAGAATGACTTCTTCGCTAGAGTTGGACGGCGTAGGCGATGGAGAACGAGTCGGAGTTCGATCGACAAATGCGTCAAGCCGTTGAGTCTCTCCCACGACGTCGAAGAAGAAGGGAAGAGGTGATGCTGTGTTTTGAGTGACGGGAGCCTCAACGCCAGTGATGTCTTCCGCTCCGGACATCGTAGCCTTCTCTGCCTCGCGTGGGTCTGGAGAGATATCCGTTGTTTCGGCGGCAACATCGACCGGCATCGCCTCGTGGATGTAGGCATCGATAAGCGAAAAAGCAGGTCCAGGTTCGTGGGAAGGTGTGTCGGCAGCAGCTTGGCCATCGATGATGTTCTGTCCTTCGATTTCCGCTTGAAGTCTGATTGTAGAATTCCCCTCGTCAATCTGCAAGATGCTCTCTAGTTGTTTGAGAGGCTCTGCAGCTCCAGTATTGATAAAGGCAACCGGCCTATGGCGTAGTTTGGAATCACTGCTCCAGGGTGAGGAACGATGAGCGGTGCTGCGGGCTTCGTCTTGCAATGTAAATCCTGCTGCGAACCCGATTAACTTGCATGCCATCGATGAGAGGTGCTGCCCGAGACGGGTCTCGATCAAAATGGCATATACTGACCGGCTGGGCTCATCGCAGGAATGAAACTGGGTGCATGCCGCTCTGTACCACCGGGAGGGCGAAGCCGAGGGGCATTGCGTGGTGGCGCACGAGCGCCACCCCTTTTTCCACCGCGCGGCATCGCTGCCCACGCGACGAAGAATGTTCAATGGAAGTGCCGTCTATGTCTTGTCTGGGTGTAAAGGAGTAGTTTCTGTCAACTGGATGTGTGGTTGTGGGAGCTTTGACACCTTCTGCTGAGGTCAGAAATATGCTCAGTGTGTGGTAAGCCAGCCCAAAAAAAAAACCTTCTATTATGCGTACCTCTACTCCATATTCCGTCCCTCTGGAAGCACAATGCGGAGTAGGCACCGGGGGCGAGGTAACTTAGCTTAGATGCTTACCTATGCATACTTGGGGAAGAGCCGTAATTGATACCTTAGGTTTGTTGGTTGATTACATCAGGCAATTGCTGAATCTTGTTGCATCTGTTATCGATAAGAAACGCTCGGACGGAGCACAGATCACCTCATGAAAGGCAAGGTACCTTATCCATAGAAGTACTGTAGATATTGTTTCGATTCAGATACTTAGGCAAAATCCGGAGCCTTCCGGTAATAACGGCTTCGCACCTCAAGTACTCTATACTTCCAGCACTAGTCGCCGATCAAAAGAGGACCTGGGCCGCTGTCCCCTCACCACGTAACGTGGGGCAGCAAATCTACCTACAGATACAGGCTGCCTAGGTATGTACATTACCGTGCAGCGGTGCTACCTGACAGCCACACCAAGAGCCCCGCTGTGTTCGGCTGATGCGTCACAGGGACAGTCCGCCTGTCATCGGCTCAGATAGCTGAAGACTTGGGCTGCAAGTAGTCTTTACGCTGTTACGGGGGGTTCCTTTCTATCATGTAAGGTCGTCTGGCTGTGCTAGCTTGGCCGCCTCTACCTACCTCCTCGTCGCATGCCTACCTAGATACGGCATGGCTATCTCCATTGCTCATTCACCATCCCCCGACTGACCGACTTCCCATCTCACCAACTTGACCATCTATCACTCCTACGGCCTCGCATCGATATTACCTCGAGTGCAATTGCGACACTGCTTAAGCTGACACCGTCATCCTCAGAACATACCTCTGTTTGCTTTTGACTTCTCCCAAAGTCGCACCGACAGCATCCAGAAGGAAGAGCGACTAAAAATCCTTCGTTGTCGCCTGCGCATACGAAATCATCTTTCTTCAGGACGAGCCGTTCCATATCGCAGGACTTTGTGGCCAGGCTTCGCAGTCGAACGGATCCGCCATGGCTGCGGTAGACCTCGGCCGATACCGTCGCATCGTCCAGATGTTCTGGGATCCCCAACCTACCAACGACCATCAGAGTGATCTTCCAGTTTGGTGCTTGGGTCGCTCCTACAAGCTCAACACCAAGGCTACTAAAGACCAGGATACAGACAATCGAAGCCAAACCCCTCCGTCGACCGAGTCTACCGATACCAAGCCAAAATCCTCACAGGTGTTAGCTACGGCCTCGGCCTCGGCCAAAGCCCCGGAAACCCCGCCGGATTCTGTGTCCAGTAGCTTTTCGTCTTCGCTTGCTTACGATGAGGATTACGTGGAGCAGGACGGTGGCTGGCCTTCGGCGTTTCTTGACGACTTTGAATCCAAGTTTTGGATGACGTACCGATCAGAGTTCCAGGCCATAGCAAAATCTACAGATCCACGAGCCTCGTCTGCGTTATCTTTCTCGATGCGTATCAAAAGTCAACTAGTGGATCAGAACGGCTTCTCGTCTGACAGTGGCTGGGGATGCATGATCCGATCAGGTCAAAGCTTACTCGCAAATGCGATGGCAGTCATCAACTTAGGGCGTGGTGAGTTGCCTGGGATAATTTGACGATTACTATCGCTGCAAGTCCCTTTCGCTGACACCGATAGTAGGATGGCGACGGGGTGACAAAATTGAAGAGGAGAGAAAGCTGATTTCTCTATTTGCGGACGATCCAAGAGCGCCTTACTCCATCCACCAGTTCGTTCAACATGGCGCAGTGGCATGTGGGAAATACCCTGGGGAGTGGTTTGGTCCCTCGGCCACCGCTCGCTGCATTCAGTAAGCCTGTGATATTGTTGCGAGATGCAGTCATACCGGCTAATTTTCTAAACTAGAGCTTTGGCTAATGCCCAAGAACACCAGCCTCTTCGAGTGTATTCCACTGGAGACGGTCCTGATGTCTACGAGGAGAACTTCCTGAAGATAGCCAAACCCGAAGGCTCACGGTTCCACCCTACACTCATATTGGTTGGTACGAGGCTCGGAATTGACAAGATTACACCGGTCTACTGGGAGGCTCTCATAGCCGCACTACAAATGCCACAGTCAGTGGGCATTGCAGGGTAGGCGCCTCCATCAAATTAGATACCACGCACTCACTCACGACCATTACAGTGGCAGACCTTCCTCTTCTCACTATTTCATCGGCACACAAGGTTCATACTTGTTCTACCTTGATCCGCACCATACCCGACCTGCCCTCCCATTCCATACGGATCCTTCTCTCTATAGTGAAGCAGATGTTGACACCGCCCATACTCGACGCTTACGTCGGCTCCATGTTCGGGAGCTGGACCCCAGCATGCTCATTGGTTTCTTGATACAGGACGAGGACGACTGGATCGAGTGGAGGCGTAACGTAAAGCACGTCCAAGGAAAAGCCGTCATCCTTGTGGCGGACTACGATCCCGTGTCCAGAGGTGGCGGAGGAGAAAGGAATAGCGCCATTGATGAAGTTGAAACGATTAGTGATGACGATGGTGACACCATCTTGGACGCTTGAGACTCTCCGTCTCTTGCTGTGATCCTTCCTTTAGGATCCGAGACCGAACATATGGGCGTTGGAAACGCACCAATGCACATTGCGCGATGCAGGGTTTCTTCGCCTGAAGCTGCTGGGATAGGCTACATGTCCAGTTCGGGGACAGTCGCATTATTGGCGTAAAGGATGCTCACTTTGATCACGAGGCTGGGTAACACAGGATTGGTTGGGTATGAACATTGGTTTGCTTTAAGGTGCGAGTTCGCTCATCAATCGTTGGATAATTGTCTGAGACAGCTCAGTCTTAGATACAGATTGACTCAGCGTCTCTTTTTCTTAGCGCCTGCTGGTGCCTTTGCATTTGGGGGTGCCCTGGCATGATTGAGATCGCGAATATGACTGAAGAGCTGGCTTTTGGACGGAAACGATGCATTACACACAACGCATGTATTCTATGGATCGGGTGTCAGTGATCAAAAGCAGAGTTGACTTTGGGTATATCCATATCGGTACTCACACTGCTAGTTTCGGCCTCCTCCACTGCTTGGCGTGCTGCCTTTTTTTCACGCTTCGCCTTGGCCTTCCCTAACTTCTTAGGCTGTGGCCCATGGCCACTTTCATTATCATCTTCAAGTGACAATGTTTCTAGACCGGTTGATACTGCCTGAGCAGCGGCTTCTGTGCCATCGCCTTCGCTCGCCCTGGTAATGGTATTGTCGTTTGCGAACAGCCTTTGCTCAACCTCGGCACGCGAAGCATACTCGTCATCTCCGAGGTTATCTGACGACGTATCAGTGAGCTCCGCCTCATTGATATGTGAAATTGGTTCTGATGATATGTCTTCCGTGCCCTTTGCGGCGTCCAATCCACTGCGGTCCAAAGTGCCAGCCCCCCCCTCAGATTCGCCGCTCGGTGTCGCCATCTCGGGCGCGATAGGAACGTCACGTAGACCCAGGTCCATATCTTCGTTCTTCATTTGGCGCCTCAGATATTGCACTGCCTTAACGTGTTTCTTGCTTCTCTCATGTGCTTCAAATGACTTCTCGCTCTTGAAGGTCTTGTTGCATACAACGCATTCGATCTCTTCTACCTCTGATTCCTCCTCCTCGCTGCTCGAGAAGTGGCCGGCCGTATCGCCTTCATCCCTCGCCTGAGCCCAGTCAGGAACGAATGCCTCGGACAGCTTCTCTTTATTGGCGGCACGTGAGCGTGCAGCTTGGGCGGCAGCGGCTGAACGTAAAGACTCCTGGCGTTCGGCAGCTGTCTGTGTGTTTGGAAGGTAACGCGGATCGCGTTTTCGTACAAAAGTGACGAGGAATCTTACTGCGTCATTGAATTCTCGTACGGCTTCTTCACGAATCTTCTTGTTCTCTCTCTCCATAGCGCGTCTGATACGCCGATCCGGGGCGTCCACAAGCCGGTATTCGTCCTTCCATGCAAAAGTCTTGCAAGTCGAGAAGCTGGCCCAGGCACTGTAGAAGGCTTTGACGGTGTGCTCATAGCTGTCGGTAGAGGAGCCAAATGTAGGATAATCCGGAGTGTCTCCCACTTCGTACGCGCCAGCAGCGATTTCTTCATCAACAAGATGATCGAATGTCGCCTTGGCAATGCCAAAGAACCCTGAAGTGCCATCTGTGAAAGGAACAGTGGAGTCAAAGCGGCGAATAAGGGAGAATATGTCTTCGGTGGACGTGAGCTTCACGTTATTGTACTCGGGGCTGTTGCCTGAATCGGTCGGATCGGCCCCTCGTAAGATGGCTTCGCGATGGGAGTCGTACCAAGCTCTCTCCTGGGGATCGGCAAGTACTTCGTATGCGGCCTGAATTTCAGCGAAGCGACGGGTCGCATTCTGGACATCATGAAAGTTTCGGTCCGGGTGAAGCTCAAGGGCTCGTTTTCTGTAAGCTTTTTTGATTCTGTAGGCCCGAGATCGATTAGCATAAACCCAAGCAAAGTCCCCATAGCATTGCAAAGTGAAGAACCAGTGCATACTCATCGTCAGAAGCGTCGCGCCCAACACCAAGGAGCTCGTAGTAACATGTCTTGACCGTTTCAGAGGAGCTTTCGCTCTGGTCTCGACCTGAGGATTGCTGAGCACCCATGACACGCCGGGGGCGCTATATAGTGTAAAGCAAATTGAGTGGCTTTATCTGTTGCTAGATTCGGACTGTCGGATCCCTTGGCATGCGAGAGCTGCCACAGAATCGCGTGCTGGAGCCGGCGCGTGTTTGGCGAAAGCTGCGACCGACCAGTCCAACAAGCCCGACACGCGGCACAGAAAGGTGAAGAAACCCAGTGATCAAGATTTTCACCAGGTTAAGGTAGCGAAATATTCACGACAAATGAAGGACTTGGGCGAGACACGTCTGCTACGTAAAGAATTTAAGATATTTTCAAGTGAAGTAAGGATGGAACTTCGTTGTGGTGCCTAGGTAGGTAGACCTTAGGTAGGTAATTCATATATATTGAACCGAATTTCCTTTTTTTCTTTTTCTTTTTTCAGGCACCCCTCCACACCTTCACGTAAGGGAAGGAAGACATACATACCCCGCAACCCCTCATTGCCAGCCATTGTTGATAAGATAAGAAATCAAGGGTTGTTGAAGTCGAAGGTACCTAGGGTTCATTAAGATAGGCGCCGCGGTACCTAGCTAAAGTACTCTGTGCCTGTCTCTTCTATCTACCTACCTACCCGATACCTACCTACCTGCACGGATGCCTCTGCCTCAGGTACTTCCTGAGACCACATGGTTCATGCTAGATAAAGACCGACAATAGATGTCTATTTGAAAACCTATGTAAGTCGACAGGTAGGCAGTTGGCAGCGCAGGTGCACGCCTGGACACTTGACGAGCGAGCAAGGTAATTGTCCGTCCACGCACGGATACAGTAATACTCTGTATTAGTACGACTATCTCATTACTCGGAAAAGACTGACAATGACTCTTGTGTGGTCCCACCTGGCGTGGCAACGTGCCGACTCCGAAGTTGATGACTGGGTTGAAGGCAACGAGCATCATGACAGGAGCAGCGGGCCCAATACCACCTTTTTCTGAGGACAACTTTGAGTGAAGTATCTCTGCCGCGAGGCAAATATTGCCCGTACTATTGCCTTACCTAAAGTACCAAGGGTTCCCAGTTCCCTACCGTATTGTACCTAAGGGACTTATGTCATACGAAGCAAGGTATGTATGCATTTATCCGAACATCGAGGAGAGTTAGTGACGGGCTGACGGCTACTGATGGGGATGTGGATGGGATGGGATGGCGTCCAGTGTGCCCATCCATCCATGCCTTGTTCTACCCCCCGCCTTTCCCTCCCTGTCCTGGCCCGTTGTTCGACAGCATGGTCCAGCCCAGCCTAGCCCTCAGCACGTCGTCGAGGCCGGTGACAGGAAACCAATCGAGTTACGTACTTTTGCCTGTCTGCGATTGAAATTTTATATAGTGCAAGTACGCTGCTGACCCTTTACCTACCCTCCCGTCACAAGCCCCCCAACTCTCTCTTTCTTGATCATTCGTCTATGAATCCAGGGCTATCCTATCCACCCCTCGGAGAGAAAGCCATGTCTTTACGCCTTGCCAAGACACCAGTCCGAGTATCGAGTATTGTTGCACTGCAGATCCAACCAATTTGAATACGCCATGAAGTTTGCACACGACTTCAAAGAAACGCTTAGGCGCCAAGGTTAGTGTACCACATGTCATTGTTTTTGCGGATATCTCCCTCTCATATCATTCATGTTCGTCTCATCTCAGACGCTCTGTGAGACTGGATGTGATTTTTCTCAAACAACTTTGAAATGGACGATGCATTGTCTGATGCTGCTCAATTTCAGACTTTCCACCTCACTGGATTGATCAGGCCATCCCCTACGGCCAGTTAAAGAAGGTTCTCAAACGCGTCGCCAGGGAACTTAGCGATCTGGGGCTTGATCCCGAGACTCTACGCCAACTTCTCGACCCGGCTAATGATTCGCCTCTGGCCGCCAAATACCGCCTCAACGGTAAACTCTCTCTGCCTTCTCCCATGTAACGGTGTTCGCATCACCGCCACCCCCCACGCCCCTACCACAAGCATAAGGGCTAATTCGCACACAGCCGCCGGGAACTCAAAGTTACTGAGACCAAAGCTGACTGTTTTGGTGCACATGCGCGACGGGAATGCCGTTGATGCATCACTGACGCCTGCATCCCGTTCCCTCATTGAACGCATCGCCGCCTTGCAGTCCCACGATCCAGCTCAACCGATCCCGGCCGCAGCTCCCGAAGACACCGTACCAACCAAGTCGCCAGCCTCGTCTGCTGAGTCTCTTGCCAATGCCGAGACTGAATTATCAGACATCCAGAGATGTCTACAGGTTGAAGGCCAATCGTCGCCAACAGAGCACTATGAGCGTATCGAAGTTCCACTTGTCTTTGATAGTGAATTCTTTGACATTCTGCAGAGCGATGTCAACAACCTGGATGCACTTCAGGCAAAGGAAGAAAAGGCCATGGTGATGGAGATCGTTGCCTTGAGACAGGAGATTTCGCATCTGACGAAACCCAGTCGCCTCTCCAAGAGCGACCTTGCGAGGTGGCGAGCCATTTTCGAGCTGTACCTCGACGCCCAGGTCTTCTTCTCAACCAACGAGCAAGACCACGGGTCCAGAACCAGTCAGACGGCTGCGAAGCAGCTCCAGTGGTTCCAAGAAGAAATCACAAAGAGGAATCTCGTCAAATCCTTCAAAATTGCCGAGAGTCGCGAAGCCCTAGTTCGCTTTTTAAGTCTTAACGCCGTTCTCCTCAAAAACTTGCAGTTCCAGGAAATCAACCAGGTTGCCATCTACAAAATTCTTAAAAGTGAGCCTCACCTCTGCTCAATATCGCTTTCAATCTAGTTTGATTTGTCTAAGCAAAGCTGATTCACGGCAGAATTCGACAAACGTACCTGCCTAGGTGTTTCGAAATCCTTTCCAGTTCAAGTCCACTCCGACAAGCTGCTGGCCGGCTCCGTGGCGAAAGACATTTGCGCCCAAATGTCCACCGATTTAGTGTCAGTCGTACCGCAGATTAGTGATTACTTGTGTCCAATCTGCTTCGCCATTGCCTATAGGCCTGTCCGGCTAGCATGCCAACATATATTTTGCATTCGGTGCATTGTCAAGATCCAACGGCGGAACGAAAAGCACTGCCCTTTGTGCAGAGCAGACACCGTCATGAGGGCGTCCGCGGGTGAGTAGACCAAGTTTGCTGACGCAAAGTGCACACTGACTGACACTGATGATTGCAGATAATCTGGATATTCAACTAGAGAGATACATGCGCAAGTACTTCCCCAAGGAGGCCAAAGAGAAGCAGCGAGCCAACGAGATTGAACGAGGCATTGAGGACTATGGTCCTGAGTACGTGCACTCTGAATGCTCTGTTATGTAGATGCTGTCGTGTTTTATTTTCTTCTTCTTTGCATTCCTATAGATTTCTTAGAGATACCCTTGCCGGTTGTAGGTTGAGCTTTCGGTTGCAACGAGACTTGAATGTGAGAGATTCTCGTGGTCGTTGCTGGCGAGTGCTTCTTCGTTGCTCTCCAAATTCTTATCATCTTTTGGCTTCCGCGTGCCTCCTCATCCAGCTACCCATTACTGTTCCAGTCATACTAAGTTTACTGTGCCACTCAATCATCTTGTGACTTTTCGACCGCTTGAAGAGCACTGGTGAAAATCTTTTGCAGCTCATCCGTCTCCTCTAGGCCGACACTGACGCGAATGAGGTCCGGATCAACACCCAGACCGGCAGCCCAGTCGAGCTCTTGGTAATGGGCCAGCAGTACATAAGGCGATGTCAGAGTAAAGTTCGTACCCAGACTTGGGCCCTTGGCCGTCTCAATGGCGTCGAAGAAGGCAATGGCGTGGGCCGTCTTGTGAAACGTGACCGACAGAAGCCCGCCATAACCCCCACCAGGCAATTTGCAGAGATCGTAGTTGGGTCTCGTCGGATTTACTCTCGGGTAGTAAACGCATTTTACCAGCGGATGGGCCGAGAGGATGTCGCAAATTGTCTCGGAACTTTCGTTGATGCGTTCAATACGCGATGCAAAGTCGCGACTGTTACGCTCCATGAAAACAACGTCCTCTGGCCAGTACGTATCTTCCAGATCCTCGATCCAAGCACCCTTCAGGGCCTGATAGTACTTGCCGCTTGGATTAAGGATGGCACTGCCACCCATGACGTTGCAGTCGCCCGAGAATATCTTGGTCAGACTGCTTACGACTATGTCTGCGTATTGTAGCACGTCAATGTTGATGAAGCTGCCGATGGTCTCGTCCACAACGACGCCGAAATCGTACTTGTCTGCAAGGATACGGATCCGCGCCAAGTTGGGGCAGGTCAAGAGAGGATTGCCGGGAAATTCACAAAAGAGCGCTAGGAAGCGCTCACCACTCTCTAGGCGCTTTTCGAGATCGTCAAGATCATCCTCTGAAGCGCGCCCATAGAAGAGACAACCGGGACCAAACTTTTGTAGGATCTTGAGCGTGTCGACGTAGGGGAAGCCAAAGTTGACAGATTGGAGGTCACCTCTAGCGCGCAGCATGGCCCGGTGGGCGTTGTAGATAGCATTCATGCCACATGGAAACAAGTATACGTCGCTTTCTTGCAGGTCCTTTTGGTTTCTCGCGTTTTCTCCCATGGGAGGCAGGGAGCTGATGCTGCCCTCCATGTCGGCAGCCATAGCGCCCGCAATTCTACGCTTGATGGCCGACCTGGCGCGCTCGACGAGGGACAGGTCGAGGTTACGGCCAAAGCGTTCCTCAAGAAAGCGTAGGCTTTCTTGCGTTTCAAACGCACTCTGAGGGTTCACCTTGGCCGCTGGGTGGTGAGCCGTCTTGGTGTCGTCGATGGAAGATGGGCGATGGTATCTCTTCGGGCCTCTGTGGGCCTTTCCCACTGGCGAGTTGGGCCTTGCCACGGGAACGAAGAGGCCCTCCTTCAATAGACCATGACAGAACTCGGCTCTTCGGCTTGAGATGCCGTCTCCTGTATGCTGCCAGTACTGCTTGGCAAAGGGGAATACCTCAGGGGCATACACCACGGCAGAGACAGTGGGTGACAGGGAGCGCAAGAGTGGTGAGATATCCTTGGTCATGTCGAGTCCGAAATCAATGACGGTGGCATCGGCAGAAATTGAGGCATCTGCGTGTTTCTTTACAAAGGCCAGGCACCTTCTCGCAATACGAGGGGTGGGAAACAACATGGCTTTCTGACCCGAAGGGCCATGTTGGGCAATCAGATCTTCAGCCAAGGCTACAATGCTCCTATGAATGAAGAATCTTGACAGAAAAATAGTCTCAGCCGGGAACAAAGAGCTACCAAGGAAGAAGAGGCTTACCTGGGATAACCGGTGGTCATCTTATCGACGACCCATGATTCTCCCTCTTCATAGCCGACATTTGCCTTCCACGTAGGAAGCTGAACGCTCACTGCCTACGCGGGCTGTTAGCATCGACGTCACGCATGACTCTGAACAAGGAGAGGGAACCACATGGAAGTGACTTTGGCGTACATGAGCGGTGTCTGGCGGGATGGACTGTCCCAATTCCAGAGCGGGCATTGTGACAATCTTGACTTGTGCTTTTTTATCTACGTGAACTGTACAATGTGTTAGACCTCGTTTAAAAGCGTGTGTGTTATGGCCAGTGATCGACTTGCTCTGTATTTCACCGAGGTGATGTGGTGTGGGCTTTTATGCGTCGTTGGTCTGTATGAGAATGAGATGAGTCAAGTAGGCTGGAGTTTGAATTGGACAAGATGTGGGTCAAGGCCGGTGCAGAGGTGGCTAAAGTAGGTAAGGCATCACGCAAGAGCCGTCCACTCGTATAGCTTCCTTTCTTTCTTTCTCTCTCTTTTTCTCTCTCCCACACTCACTAGTATTGTTTATCTCTGTCTCTCCCTCTTTCCATGTGTGGGATCGCACTGAGATTTAAGGTAGTGTAAATGGGTACAAGGTATCGGAAAACGGTGGCCCTGCTCAGTGCTCAGTAGTTGTCGATAAAAATATGCTGTCAATCGCGAATCTCATCAATTTTACCTCCAGTGTCAATGTCCCCGGTTTGCCGGCACTTGACTCGATATGGGTGATTAGAAGTCGGTAGAAACCTGCCAAATCCCCAAAGGGTAACTTGTGGTGCAGCGACATGGGATTGAGAGTCTGTGACCGGTAATTGTTGGTCTGTGCCGTGGTATGCGGGGCGCCGAGGATCGGAGTGATGCCCCGCGAGGTGCATTTCATTTTGTCTCTATTACCTCTCTCTCTACCTTACGTAGTGAGGATACCCACGTACCTTTCTAACTTACCTACGACCTCACATCCAAAGCCCAAAGACTTCGAGTTCTTGAAAGTACGGAAAGTGAATTCGGGCATCTACGACGCGACATCTACCAAGCGAAATGTATCATAGCAGCCCCGAAATCAGATTTGATTTCCCACGAGCCCTCACCTCAAGCCTCAAGCGCCAAACAGACAGCGTTAAGATATTGAATAATTCTGTTGGTGACGATGATAACCAAACAGTCCAAAGCTTTGGTCCAGCCTGTCATCCAACCAGACTATCCATTTACCAAGAGCTGAGGAACACGAGTCGGCACCGGTCTAGCATTTCCATAAACTTGGCCCAAGACAAGAAAACACTTATACGCATTCAAGAAGTTGGTAGACCTCCGTGGATGCCCATGTCAGCGAGATCAGCCTTGTGAAGAGCTTTTCTAGTATCTATCTCAACCTTGAACAGTCCACAAGCAAGCAAAAGTGTCTCAACATGACCCCCATATGTCACAATCGTATCCCCATTGACCCGGCTTCAGCCTCATCTGGTCATCGTCCCTTATAAATAGAACAACTGTCATGCCATGCCATGCATCCGTATCCGCGCCTAAATCGTGAAAGACAGCCTCTAAATAAGAAATGTATATTGCAATAACATCGGCACTCGTGCTGTGCGGCCGAGTAATCTGTTCATAATTTTGAGTCGCTCGACTTTGGAAGTCTTGCCAGCTTCAACAGCTGTACCAAAACATTCCGGTGGAAGACAATCCACTGCACTTCTCCATCTCGTCAATGATATTGACGCCTGCTGGTCTTGCTGCCGATACAGCTGATGCTATCACTTGGTGCTACGCTGATGGCGTCATCTTCCCAAGCACTACGGCCACTGTCAATGCGGCTCTTTGGCGGAGGAGGGCCGCGTGCTGACACATAGGTCGGTGCTCGCGTGGCAGGGGGGTAGGCGAAGACGGGTTGAGTGTTTCGAACTGCCGTTGGGGCTCTACTTGGAGCTCTGGTTGGAGCTCTGCTCGGTGCTCTGCTGGGTGCCTTGCTAGGGACAACAGTAGCCGGCGCCGCCTGAGTGGGTGCCATGCTCGGAGCTCGGCTGGGTGCCACAGTAGGAGCTCTGCTACGTACAACAGTCGGAGGCCTGCTAGGCGCCCTGCTCGGCGCCTTGCTCGGTGCCATGCTCGGCGCCTTGGTGGGTGCGCGGCTCGGGACAAGGCTCGGGGCCATAGTCGGCGCGCGACTGGGTGCACGGCTAGGTGCTTGGCTCCGCCCGCCCAATATCGTCTCAACAGTGGGCGGGGGCGGACGGATGGTGGATTGAGACCTCCCGCTTCGGGCTGAGACGTAGGTGCCGGCATCGTCAACGATGGTGCGGGGCACGGCCGACCTGCCGGCCATGCTGTGTCTTGAGCCTGCGTTACTTTGGTGCTCGTAATCAGTGAGCATAAGGGGGGCGGTTCGGGGAACGGCGGCTTGGCTGCGAGAACGAACACTGCTGCCTCTTTCGAGCTGATAGCGAGACGAGTGCCGGCTGCGGGTGTCGTCGTACAAGTCATCTGCGGCACGGCTGCGAGCGCCGACCTGGCTGTACTTGGCCATGTACTGGGGAGGTGCTCGGTTGTCCGATAGTGCCGGGTACGCCTCTGGGTACCGGATCTTCTCGACGGTCCTCTCGACTTCGACATAACGTCCGGCCTGCGGATCGGTATATTGATCGGGGAAGGTGGAACGGCGTTGAAACGGAGGCGCGGCTCCGGAGCCGTCAAACTCCTGGCGCGGAGCTCGTGCACGATCCTTGCGCATCATTCCGTAGGTGACGGCAGCGCCGGCGGCGGCACCAACGGCTGCACCTAGAAGACTTCCGACAAGGGTGTTTGTGGCGATGCCACCGCTCGATGGAGAGGGCTGAGATGGGGTTTCGTCTCTTTTGGTTGGCGATTCGATGACCGAGGTGGTGACGCTTCGACGAAGCATTGTGTAAGGAGGTTCGTTACCGGGAAATGACCCAGAGCGAGCGGCCATGGCGAAGACTGATGAAAAGGTCCCGGCAGCAGCGGAACCGGAAACAGAAGGCGGCGGCGGGGGCTCGGATGCTGCAACGTCGTAATTCCAATCCAGAATGCGGCCAGCCTCCTCCGTGGTAGACTGTGTCTTTCGAACAGTAGAGCCAGCGTAGGAGGGAGGATAGTTGGGAGGGGGTTGATATACAACTTCCATGGTGTTACCGTCCAAGTCGGTCACAGTAGCCCGGTGGATATCGCCACTTTGAGTGATTAAAGCGGGACGAGTGAAGTGATCAGCCGGGACGCTGGACAGCAGGTTCGGATTGGCCCGGACGGCAAAGGCGTGGAAGTCGGTGACAGCGGTGGGGGAGGAAGCAGAAAAGACGGCGCGAGAGAGCTTCAGGGGCTCGCTGGAATTGCGGGCCTCGCGGATCTGGAAAATGGGGGTGAGCGGGGATAGTATACCGTATGTGACGGTGCTGGGAAGTCTGCCAGGGCCTGAAGTGGTGATGGCTGTCTTGGAGTCGGTGTCGGCGCCTTCGTTGGCGCTGGCGCTGGCGTCCGGGGGAGCGGTCTGGGAATCCGTGGATATATAGTGGATGCCCAGAGATTGGAAAATGGCGGAGTAGAAGGACGTTGAGGAGGGAAGATGGGAGACGTCAAAGTAGGGAGTCATTTGGGGCGGTTGGTAGTAAAAGGACGGTCCTGATGACTAGATAGGGCGGCTCTTTGAGGTGGGAGTGAAGCGAGGCGAAGAGCTAGGTAACAGGTCGAGAATAGTTTCGTGTAAGTGCCGTTGCGCTTCCACGGACGCGAGGGGGGAACCGGGGACCAGAGGCGCAGACAGGCGACTCGAGCTAAGTAGGCTTGGTGGCAGCCTCGTTGATTTGTGCGTTCGTCGAGGTGGTTGCAAAGAAAATTCCGAGTGAAACTATCCAGGGCAACCTGTTGATGATGGTGTGTAGGTTTGTGGTGGTGCACTGGTGAGGGTGGTGATGGTGATGGTGGGTAGTGCGTGTGGATGATTTGGTAAGGTATTGACAGGCAGGCAGCGTAGCACCGAGACAGATACCAGAATGCTAATGACAACAACAAAGGGGAATCAACCTCAAGCATATCAGGTCCCGACTCCTGCGTGGAATGGAATGCTTAAAAGAGATACTTCTTAGTCTGGCAAGGGGGGAAGGGGGAGAGGGCACGCGCAACCGACATAAACCAAGCTGTGTGAGGGTCAAGACTCAAGCAAGTCTGCCCACACATACCCATCTTATGTACCTACTCCCGTCGGTAACTACCTAGGTACCTTGCAACGTCTCTGGCAACCCACTCACCTGCAACTCCAAGACCTACTTTACCTGGGAGGTATTGGCAGCCATACGGAAGCCAGTACTTTGTCTTCAGGGTACGGCGTGCCTAGGTAGGGTATCATCAGTGGCACATCCATCACTCCAGTAGCACGGGGCCGCCATAAGGTAGACTGACAGCTTGTCCCTGCTGCTGAGCCCAACCTATCTTACCTTGAGGCAGCTTAACGAAAATCCCACTCACAAGTCGGTAAGGAGTCGCACTTTTCGCCCAGTGCCTTCTGGCCAAATCCAATATGCAGCCCGCCCGTTCTGGACGAGCCCAGTGCAGTTGTGATGGTGGGTGGTGAACTGCAGCTAGTGGCCGGTGATGGAGGTGGCATGTCCACCTTGCGCCGGGACATCCAGCCGGAGACCTCAGACGGGCCACGAAGCACAGGGCGGGACCACTTGATCTTTTTCTGCGCCTATGAAAGATGAGGCTATCCCAACGCCGCGCCAGCCAGGTTAGCATAGCCTGTATAGAGTACAGGTGTACGGATGCCAACTACGTGTAATTTGCCCCATCCCTCAGATACCAGCCTTCATTCCCTCATTCTGAAGGGTGACTGACTGGTGTCATTGGGACCATGGTCAGGCCCAGCCGCCCAACGATTTACATACAACCGGCCACAGGCAAGCGCCGCTTGGTATCGGGAGCTGGGGCTGGGGCTGGGGCTAGAGCCGTGCTACGTGTACGAATACCTTGCAGAACCGAGGAACGAGAAGTCAAGTGGTGCTTCAGGTGGTTAGATCATCCTGCAAGCAGCAACGGCCGGCTGCCGCATCTCACGATCTGGATCGTGTCGGGAGCATGGTCGTCAATGTGTGGTCTGTAGGATATTGATATGGGTCCTAGTCTCAGTCTCACTCCGGAGTATTCTTGCGGATAGTGGCACTGGAGCGTTTGATCGTTTCGTCGTGTCACGTCGTGTCTGGCTGCCATTCGTCTCTTTAGGCCCCGCCTTGGCCTTTGTTGCTGCAGGCTCATTTGTCGTGCCCTGAGTTAAACCAGGATGAGAGTAGCCACCCTCTCGGGACCGCTAGAAAGATGGATCAAGATTGCAGGTATCCGTAGAATTCTTGGTCCAGACGGAAGCTGGAGGCGGTGGGTGTACTTGTGGGAGAGGGGAAAAAAACCATGAAGAGAGAAGACAGGAAAGGAAGCCTACTCGAATGCTATTAGCGGCCCATGTCACAAAGGGTTCCATCTGGAATGGGAAATATCCAAGACTGTCTATCGGGTATTAACAAGTGAGCTTAACCGGCCGAGAAATGCCGCACTGCAGATTATCCAACCCTGGGGAAACGAAAGGTGGTCGTCAGTAATCACTTGGTATAAAAGTCGCGTCTATAACTACTGTCATTGGACGAATTGGACGCAGGAGTGCGCGGGACTCCCGTCGGAAGCGTTTGTGGCTTCCAAGTGGTCCGCTGGAAGCAGCACCTTAGTAATAAGGTAGGTAGGTAATACCTTGGGTATGAAAAAGCCGCTCGTTGCGCGCGGTCCAAATGAGAAGCAGCTGCCATGCTCTGGAAGACTGGGACTCTGTGAGCATGGTAAAGTACCGCAGGTATCCACACATCAAAGTGCAAAGTAAGGTAATCAAAAGGTATCTTTTGTGAGATAAATCAATGGAAGCTACCTCATTATCCGTCCACGGTTCCTGTCTCCCACCTCACTGTCCCAAGTATCTTGATCTGGATTTCCTCGATACCAAATGCCCCTTGACCTATTACCAAGCAGGTACGGCACCTAAGATCTCTTGGGAAAGTCTTCGTGCTCTGCAAATGTACTTTCCAGTTTCGCATCTGTCTGTAACTCACTGCATCGATCCCCCTTCCACCACGTCGCGGCTTGCCAGGCTTTTTCGCGGCTTTGCCGTGACCGACTTGCCCTGACGTGCTGTATTCTCTATGAGTCCCCGTCTTCCGTATGGGTATCAAATCCCACAATGAGGCGGTGGTTTGCGCCATTCTATTTACGAATATAGATATCCTCTCCACTTTGCTTGAGCACCGTAGCTGCCAGCATGGTGCATCCAGCCTCGCACTTTTAGCTCGCGTGCTTCCAGATCCATCAACTTGGCACGAGATTGTGAGCTGGTCATGCCGCCCATCGTCGGATTTCACCACGTTCAAGTCTCAACCCCATACCAGAAGGGCACTAATGCAACTATACGTCCACCTTGCCTGCTGCCCAACCTCCCACCAGCTTGAATGCCCAGGTCCCCGACATGTTTTGTGAGCTTGGTAATTACGGAGGATTCTGGACAAACACGCATATCTATCCGTATGGACGCATACATATTTCCTCCCAGCCAGTCGGACACATCGGTCCGCGCCGCCCTGTTCCACGCGCCCAACAACCTACCCCCTACTTTTGTCAACTTTGCCCGTCGATTCTATCACATTCAAACGGTCAAGTGGTAATGCGGTGTACACACCAGCCGAGTCTGACTCCCTCACATGCACACGCGGGGCAGTTCCACGCATGGTAAGGCGAACGAGCCTCACTATTGTCGCGTCCCTCTTCGTCCCCGAGCAGACTGAGGTGACCAACAAACACTGCATCTTACCTTCCATGCCGTAGTCCACTCAGGCATCAATGACATGCTAAATCACAACCTCAACGGTTGCCCGACACGGTTTCTTCATCTTTCATTCAACCGCACCTATCTATGCTCATCAGTCCAGCACCTTCTTGGCAACCCATGAGTCTATGCGACTCTCTTTCGTCTTTCCTTTTCGTCTAGGATGCCTTCAAAACCTAGCTAAGAAAGCTAGACAGAGACATGCGGCATCGTACCGCTGCACATTCAGAGGCACACAAGCATTTGCCTCAGATTCATAGTACATTGCATCTTGGTTTATTAACCCGTCAAACACGGTAGATACATTGTCTTTCTAAATGGCCTCCAAGTACGAAGCCTTGCAACACCTATCCGCGTAGCCGATAGTATCCAGCTATACACCATTAGTCCTTGAAACGTCGTCCTTATTTTCCTTTTTTTTTTGTATGCTCCCCAGCGACACCGCTGAGCGTTTGGTCGCAATCGACCTTTTTTCATGTGAAAACCAAAGGGTGGCCCATTTGTCCCGGCACTTGCCGAAAGCACGAAGATACTACTCTAACAATAGCCAAGGCCGCCACCCCTATAGATTCTGAATAACGGGCAAACAAAAAGAAACCACAACCTAGGTTGAAGTTGAACTGTCAAGGCGAAGAAAGCGCCTTGGACCCGTTGTCGAACGCGCCCCGGTTTTGGTTGCAAAAACAGCGACAGCGATGGCACAGGTAACCCAAGTTTCCGAGGTCGCGCGTTGACACCATGATGTTGTATCGTGGTTCCGTAAGCGCAACCCCTCGACTTTCAATTTGTCGCTCTGGAGCGCATTTCGCACCTCCAGGCGCCTGGGGGCCACCACTTACATTGCCGCTCTGATTCGCCGTCGCTGCTGCCTGGGTTCGTGTCCCCGCAACACAAACGACTGAGTAGATGCCGGGTTTCGACTACTGAATGTCCCAGGAATCCTCAGCAGCATGGCAAAACTTGCTGCAAGCAACACTGGCGGACAAGCTGTAGTTGCTAATGGAGATCTTCTCGTCGACGAGGCCATCAGCAAAGGTATCGGCACCCTTTGCCATGGCACCAACGAAGACGCAAACACTCTCCTTGGGGGCGAGCGTGTCGATGTAGTCCCTGACGTGTACCAGAGGGGCCTCGAAACTGAGCGTCACCTTGCGGCAGTTGGGCGGAAGGTGATCGGTGATGGGATTCTGGATTACACGAAGCAGCTTCTCCTGCGAGTTGGTTGAGCGGATGGACAGGCGATGCAGCAGCTGAACCATCAGACCGGCAAAGCGCTTGAATGTACGCGGGATGCGAACAGACGGCGAGACCTCGATCAAGACACCCTTGGCGGTATGAATGTAGATCTGAAGCTTGCCGGCCTTGTTGATGGGGGAGTCGAGCAGGGTCAGGAGGCACTAGTCAGTATGGTCAGCATGTTGGATGCAGACACGGCGGGCTAGGCGCGTTGAGGCGCCAAAGCAGTAGCACAAGCAAAGGCAAGAGCAAAAGCAAAGGCAGAAGCAGTTCGCTGGTAGTATCCAACCTGATGTGTGATATCCGGGCGCGCGTCACTAATGTCGCGGTTCATCTTGCGCATAACTCCAATATGCTCATCGCTGTTGAGTAGCGAGTACTTCTCCTCACGTTGGACGCCGTTGCGGCCGGTGCCGCCATGTGAAGCCTTGTAGGTCTCGAGACTGGCGTTGGAGAGAACGACAATGAGGCGCTGAGAATCCTTGTCGGTAGGAGGGATTGCGGTGTGCTGCTCAGCGACCAGCTGAGGGAGAGCCGGAGGGGGAAGCGACTGGGTGCCTGTTGAAATTCGCAGATTAGCAAACCAAAGTCAATCAAGCAGAGCCAGCTGTGTGGGCTTGCCCTTGTGAGAACTGTCTGCCATGTCTTCCATCGTGTCGCGATTGCCTGCGTAGTGCTTGACACTCGATATGTGGTGTTTGGGGTAGGGGACGTGGTGAAGTGTGCAGGGTGGCGGGGTAGCTACGGCTTATAACCACGAAATGGTGCGCGCAATTGGAAGGAGGATGACTGGCGCAGAGGCTGTCCGTGAAGAAGGAGGTTCCCGGAATGACAGCGGCAGACAATCGCAATAGGGAGGAGCCTTGGATTCGGGGTTTTCACTTGATGCAAGGGAAAATGTGAGTCGCGCAAGGGACACACATTGGGAACTTACGAGGTCGCTTGACGCCAGCACGGGCCTCTGGGGAAGACATGTTGACTTTTTTTTTTTTGGAGGGGGAAATTCGACGATCGGGTGGTAAGATTTGGTGCAGGTTTTTTCCGGCTTCTTCTTCTGTTTTCTCTTCTTGTCTCGTTACACAGACAGGAAGGTGCGTACAGCAGGTGCGCTGTTGCACACTGCAAACAATAAAGTGAGAAAGTAGTGAAGAAGAATAAAATGAAGAATACTTGAGTGAACAGATATGAAATAGATCTGGTCACAGAGGTGAGGAGAGGGACTGCGTGAGGGTGAAGTAAATGGTAAAGTAGTGAGCGCGAGTCGAGAGGGAGGAATGTTGGTTTTGAATTTTCCGACAAGCGAGGGTCCAAATCTGAGGGAGGATGATTCAGGCCGAGTTGCAAGGGAAGAAGACAGACTACCTTAGTTGGCTTAGTCCAAGGTGGTGGGTGGGTGGCTTACCTTATGAGGGACACCAAAGTGACCAAACACTTAAGCAAAGGTACCGTCCCCTCTTCGAACCTACCTTACTGCGTACCTACGGATACCTACTCACCTCACTCTTAACTGCTGCTGGGTCCCTTGAGACTTTGGGTGCGGGGTGAGTACCAAGTACCTATGATGGAAACGGAACTCGGATACATTTAGTACACAGTATTGAGCTCATCTTGTCGCAAAGTATTGACCCGGGAGAGCAGTGCACTAGGTACAGTGCGAGCAGCGCTTACCAGAGGGAGGCACTTCTGAATTGTCCCTTCCATTTGAGTGGATCTTAGCAAACCTGGAACTCAGGCCCGCCTTGCTCAAGGTACCTACCTGCCTAGGCACGTGCTACTACGTAGGTAAAGTAGGTTAAGTATGTACCTAGGTTTGTCTTCCATGCAATTTCTTGCACGCTCAGAGTCACGGCACACAAGTTTCTGCTCGGCTCGGGTCTCAGCCACTCGACTTTTAGCCGCTACGGCGAATGTTTGCCGAGCCATCAAGTGCGTTTACCCCGAACAGAGAAAACTAATGCTTCTTGGGTTCCTCATCCTCTACCATACTTGGTATCCAAACTTGTCATGTCAGTCTGTTTTGTACGTGAAGGCTTGCCACTCTCAGCAAACCCAAGGGGCAGGCTCCGTCTTGGTGCTTCTAAACCCACCGAGATCGGGGAATCTAGGCGTCCGTCTGCCGATGCTGCCGCCGGCTATTGTCCTCAGCGGTTTCTTACCCAGTGTGAGAGGTTGGTGCCTTTAAATACCTGTGGCTCATGATGCCCCGGTGAACATGCAGTGGACGTGTGGGCCATGATTTGCCGAGCGATAGGAGTACGCAGTAATAAAGAAACACTTGAACTTGAAGATTGGCCAGACAGCGAAAATAAAACCGCGATAGGAGGAAGGAGATACACAAGAAAGCCTCGGTCGTCTCTATAGCAGGCGTGTCTTCACATGAGTAGATCCCCTGGTCACTTATATGGTATACGCGTCGGCCCTCTGGGGCCACATGGACATAAGGTCGGGATGGCCTCGAATGGGCCATGGAAAATTATTTTGTATCGTGTCAGTCTGATGCCCCTACAGAGGGTGCCCACAACGATCAAATTGCGAGGGAAACGCCAATCCTGTTCTAGGAGAGCGCGTTATGCCTTGAAGTTAGGCCGTGATGAGTTCAATTGTCTATAGATAGAATACAATAGTCTGGTTCTGAGAGAATTACTTGAGTATGGCTGCGGCCTTGACATGGCTTGCATCCTGGCGGATAGCTAACCTGCTCGGAACGCATGACACCTGACAGACACAACACCAAGGCATTGCATAGGTATTCGTTCCCAACTCGAAGGCGGGTACGCTTACGTCTTGCTTGATACCAATCACTCCCGCACATCGGGGATGTTTCTAAGCAAAATAAATAAGCAACTCACAATTCAGCTTGTAGAACTAACAGGGCATACTAAGCCTCGGCATTGACTGTGACAAGAGAAAGAGACAAAGTAAGCTGATGAGCTGAGATAGACCTTGACATTGCACACCTAGGTAAGGTATCTGAGGTAACCCCCGTGCCCCCGAATCCCTGGAACCAGCTGTCACCGAAAGCCACAGGCCAAGCCAAGCCACCTCATCAAATCTAAGGTTATCTTAGCGTCTGATCTTTCCACTCTGCCGGACTCCAATCGAGCAGGCCAGAAAAAGGTCTTGGTGTCGGTAAAAACATGGTCCGTTTGACCAATGAGAAGCAAGGAACTTTCACCCATTCCTTTATTTTCTACTCCCTCCAGAGGCTTGGGCATAGGTACAGTATCGAGGTCACCATCACAGCCAGCATTCTATTTGAAATATCACGCGACACCCTCAGCACTTCCAAGCTCACGACCTGGTTCCCTCTTGGAATTGATTCGACAGACCGAGTTCACCGCTATTGTATATCACCGACCGCCCACCATGTCAGCCCAGACCATGGCGCAAGCCCGCGCAGTCGTCCGCGAGCTCAACGGCGTCGTCGTGAGCGCCGGCCTCATGCAGAAGACGGTCAAAGTGCGCGTGGGTGGCCAGCAATGGAAGCAAAAGGTCCAAAAGGTGAGATATAGAACCCAGGAGATACCAGGCCTTGATCTATGATCCCCATCTTTGAGGAGACTAACCAACCTCGGCTTCCTAGATGTTCACGAAACCAACGCACTACCTCGTCCACGACCCCAACTCATCCCTCCGCACAGGAGATGTCGTTTCCATTGTTCCTGGATGGAGGACATCACCCCACAAGCGCCACGTCGTCAAGAGCATCATCGCGCCCCACGGTACACCCATCTCAGCGCGCCCACCGGTACCGACCGAGGAGGAGAGAATCGCGGCCAAGGTGCAAAAGAGGGAAGCCAAGGTTGCTAGACGAGAGACGCGGCGGCAGGAGAAGTCTTCAAAATCCACTCCTGAGCCCGAGGTTGACTAAGGCCTGAGATTGGCGGAAGAAAGACTAAACAGAGAACCAGGAAAAGGTTTAGCAAAGATTACAACACAACGCTGTATAACACAAATGGGGAGGGGAAGGGAGTTGACACAGAGCACTGGGCCTCGTCTTCACTTCAGTTGACGATATCCTTGGCCTGATTTGTGGCTGGAAACGTGTAGACGAACACTCGATGTCACCGGTGAAACATTGTACGAATACCAACACTATTGCAGTAGTCTCTTGTTTTAGCCATTTACGCAAAATATTTCGTGAAACTTGATATCTCTTGTTCCTGTACCGATAACCAAGCGCCTCTGGAGGGTATCACTTCCACGTGCACTCCCCTAACCAACCGACCAATCGCCCTGTCACGCAGAAACAATGAGAAACAAAAACACCTCGCACATCGCATGCCTGCTGCCCTGCATCATCCACCTCGCTCGCCAAACTCCCTGGCCCAATCCTCATATTCCTTCAAGCCCGTTTTGCTCACACTTGGTCTGATAGTTGTCAGACTTGCCTCAAAGTCTGCCAATGAAATCGGTCGGATTTCGTCCATGGTCATGTGCAAGAGAGCCTCGCCCAAAGAGCGGAGCGGACCCATGGCCGCATCTTTAGCCAGTGCCGTTATATCGGAACCCGAGAATCCTGTGCCCATATCAGTATCAGTTCTGACGGCCCATTCGCCACCCAAATGACGACGAATGCTTACCATCTGTAAGGAGAACGAGCTTCTCAATGTCCGCGTCGGACAGGACATGCTTTTGCTGCCCCAGAAGTGTTCGAAACTGCGTAGAGCGAGTCTCGGACTCAGGCAGCGGTATGTATTGACGCCTCACAAACCTGCGGCGTGCTGCTTCATCAATAGCCCAAGGCAGATTAGTTGCCGCCAAGACAAGCACTCGATTCGCATCTCCTCTGCTCTTATCTTTTTCGTCCACGGCCCGACCTGCCGCAGCTCGCTGTAGATCACTCCACTGAATGAGAAACTCAGTCTTGATCCTCCTTGTCGCCTCGTGCTCTCCCGACCCGGACCTTTGAGAAAGTAATGAGTCAATTTCGTCAACGAAAATGATGCTTGGTGCCAGAGTCTTCGCCAGAGAGAACAATGCGCGGACGAGCTTCTCGGACTCGCCTAAGTATTTACTCGTCAAGCTGCTTGCTGATATCGAGAAGAATGTCGACCGCGATTCTGTTGCTACAGCACGCGCCAGCATGGTCTTGCCCGTGCCTGGCGGACCAAAAAGCAGCATTCCTCTTGCAGGCTCCCGAAGTCCCATGAATAAATCAGGTCGTAAGAACGGGTAAACCACGTTCTCCCTGAGTGCGTTCTTGGCTACCTCTAGACCGGCAACATCGCTCCATCGGACCTCATCGCCCTGAACAATGATCTCGTTGAGAATTTGCTTTGCGGCTGCCTCGTCCACGCCGGTTGGAAGGTTTTTCATAATCTTCTTTTTCGTTTCCTTCCAGGCTGTCTTGAGCGAAGAGCCCTCTTTTTCATCGTCGGCAGATGCTTCGGAAGAAGGGCCTTCGGCATCAGCTGCGATTGCGTTTTCTTTCCTCTTCCCCTTCCTCTTTTTGCCTGATACCTTCGGACTTGTTTCTGCGTTGTCCGAGCAACTCGAAGACGAGCGGCCCTGCGAAGATTGCATGTTACGACGAGATCTATCGGCTTTGTCCTGTTCTAATCCGCTCGTGAGATTGTTATTGGGCCGAGTAGATATGTCCCCCACTGGCTTCCTCCGTATTCTGGCCACGTCCGGCGTAGTCTTGCGTCGTAAGTCTGACTCGTCAGCGTCAGACGACGGAGGCCGTTCGTGAGGCGATGCTCTGGATCGTGAGACTGAGGACGTTTGGTCCCTTGAACGCGAGGTCCGCTCTTGTCTTGGGGTGCCATACTCGACCCCTGGAGCGTCTTGATTGGACATGGCATTCAAGGCACTCGATGCCGCACTCACGGACAATGCTGACGGTCGCGCTTGCGACGAATCCTCAGATGTTCTTGCACTACCAGTCACGTCTGGGAAAGACGGATGAGCTTCTCTAGGCGTCACGAGCCGTCGGGTATGTACGTCCCATTGCATGCCAGACGAGGGCGGCGGCTTGCGGGACTGCTCGGCAGGCGTGACAGGCGCAGACGATGAGACCTCTGGTACTGCTGGAGACGCTCTGGCGAGTCTTTCTCTAGAACTCAGGGCAGTCCATGCAAGAGTTGCAGCTTTGCTGGCGCCAGGTCCTTCGGTCTTGGACAATTTGCGACTCGACTTTGCAGATTTCTCGCCTGGCTTCCCGGTCCGCAAGGTTGTCCGCATGGTGTATTTCTCAGGGCTCGGAGATCTCATAGTCGGCTCTTTCCTAGGTGTTACTCGGGGAGAGTTTGATGGGCCGGCAAAGGGAGACGCCACGGGACTTTGGTCGCGACCGACTACAGCCTGCTCAGAAGATGTTCTGTAGGGCAACGACGGTCTTTTGGGCAACGCGGGCCGCGAGAGATCGGGATATCTTATAGCTGGAATTGTGCCTTGGCCAATATAGCCTCGTTCAGGAGTAGACATGGTGTATGGGTCGGGGGAGATAGAGCGGTTCGGGGTGGGTGGGTTATTGGGTTGAGGAGTCAAGGCGTCTTGTCGGGATATTCGTAACGCTTCAAGCAGGTCAATGCGCTCCTTGCACTGCAGTTCGAGCTTGCGCAAAGAATCTATCAAGGCGTCTTCCGTTTCGGTTCCAGCAACGTAATTGGGTAGCAGCTTGGTGATGCGTTGGTCGTTGAGCTGATCTAGGGCATTCCTCCAGCATCGCATCGCCTCGGTCTCGTCACCCTAGGACAGGGAAAAACCCGAATTAGCACAGACAAATCATCCTTTGGTATGCCACACCCTTGAATTCCGGAGTAAGCAAAGATATACCTGGCTTTCATAGTAAACAGCAGTGGAACATTTCAAGTAGCTGTCGTCGTATGTCTTCTGGAGGATGGCAAGGCCCCGAGAGCGTGACATGGTACTGGAAGCCAGACCATAGTATGTCCAAGTCTGAGTGGAGACTCGATATTATTCTGACGTTGAGGCAGGAAATTCGTCACGATCCAAAGTCGAAGCAGTCGGGATGAGCTTTTCACAGCGGGGGATGGAGTTGAGCGAACTGGAGCTGAGGTTGAGGTCAGGCAAAGTTCAGGGCCAGGATGAGGTGCCTTTGTTTCTCACGCAGAGGGATTGCCGGCGAATGATGGCGGGGGGGCAACTGAAGGCAAGCGGGCCGCAGTGACGTCGCTCTTGGTGGCTTAGTGGGGGTAAAGCAATAGAAAGGCAGGCGGCAACTTCCACCGTAGGTCATCTGTACCTTAGGTAGTGCTGCACGCGGTAGTAGCTAGCTCTCTCCCTAAGGTAGGTACCTAGGTACCTGCCCGCTTGCTTTAGTGAAGCTTCAGGTAGTAAAGGCAAGGTACCTTAAGTTACCAGCCAGGGGAACACCACTACCCGGGATCCTAAGAGCCTTGCTGATAGGAAAGGTAATGAACGGAAGGTCGGTCAGGTGCCTACTCTGCTAATACATAACTACATCTTACCTCGAGGTATCTGTAGATGCTCCTACAATATCAGTCGCACACGTAAGTAGGTAAGGTGCTTAATGTAGTCTGGGTAGGTCAAAATACCAAGACTTCCAAGCACCTCATAGAAGTCACAAAGCATACCTTTAAAGCACATTGTCCGTACACAGCACTGGGCGATAGCAACACGCCGGGACGATTGAGTGCGGAAGGTGTAGAAGGCCTTTAGGCTTTAGCTATTGCTATCTCACACAGTCCATGCCACAGCCTTAACCTCACTCTGTGGCCATATCCTCTGCCAGGCACACTCGGCTCCTCCATCACGTTCCCTTCAAGACAAGAGGACCTTGATCTCCCCCGTGGTCCGAGGGAATAGGTCTCGCAGCAACGGAGGCTCGTCGCCCTCATCAGCTGACGCACCGTCACCGGCTGACAGCTCGTCCGCCAAGAGCAACATCTGCTCGACGTGCTCAAACTCGTCGCAGAATCTTTCCGCAGCCTTCTCGGTGAGTTCTCGCGCCAGACTTGAATCTTGCAGACGCTTAACATTCTCCATGGCGTCCATCAGCGCCGATGGCAAGAAGTCGTCGAGAGACTGGCTGGCTCGACTCAGAGCTGGCGGCTGTACCTCCTCAAGCGACGCTACCTTCTTCACATCGCTGGCGTCCGTCGTAAGATTGCTCAAGGATTCAAGAATCTGCGCCAGACCAGAACCACGACGGAAGAACTGGTATTGCTCTTCCGTGAGCTTCTTGCTCTCCTCTCCAACCCTCTCTTCCAGCCGCTGTGTTCTTCTTTGAGTAAAGTCGAAAGGCTCCAGGGCATGCTTTGCTGCAAGCAAGCAGTTGGTTATGAAGATGGCGCCAGCCGGTTGCCTCACACCTTTGGCCATATTTTCGCAACCTGCCAAGAAAGGCTCAAAGGCCTCTGCAAGTATTGGTTGGAAGTCGGTCTCGCGGTCCGATGACGACGCCAGCGAAATCTCGTAGGTTTTCATGACTGCAGTAAGCTGCTTCAGCGCTTCGAGCAAAAAGTCTGGAGGCACAAGGTCCGAAGGCGTCTGCTGAAAATCGCCTTGTAGTGTTGCGATGTGGTCCCTCATGAGCGATCGGAATTGCCTTAATGCGCCAGACTCAAGTCCCGTCATAAGCTCTAACAGCGCACATTCGCTGCCCAAAAGTTTGGCAAAGGTGTATCGGTAGAATCCAAGAATGTTGGCCAACTTGTAGGCGAGGATAGTCTCTTCGTTGGACTGAATGACCTGCTCGACCCTCTGCCTCAGCATTCTCGTTGCCCCTGAGACATCTCGGTCCACAAGGTCGTTCAGCGCCTTGAGAGCATCAAAGTCGGGTGCTGTCTCAGCGTCACCTTCGCCAAGAAGCTGCCAGAGCTCATTCGCCCGGCCCGTCTGGAGTCCCTTGGCAATTTCGTCGCCTTCCGAGACGAAAAGTATTTCCAAAGCCTCTCTCTCACTGACAGTGGCCGAGTGTATCCAGGCGAGCATGTCGCCCACGTAACGAAGCGGATCGTGAGCAGCCATCTCGATAGGCTTAACCGAGTGATCTTCGAGACCTGCGGCCGTTGTACCTGTCAAGGCGACGTGAAAAGCGTCGGACAGTATGCGTTCTCTAGCTTCCGCAAAGAAGTCTAGGCAATTCTGGAAGAGCGATGGCCGCTCTGCAAGAACTCTAATGGCGCGACGAATTGATGAGTTCATCTGGGGGTTCTCGAGGTTCAGTGTTCTGAATTCCCGCTGGACCCATTTATACAACTTTTGGAAGGCAAGACCGAGATTTTTGGACGTCTGCTCCATAAGTTGCAGGCCCAGCGTCTGCTTCTCAAATCCGAGTAGAATCTCGCAGTCCTGGCTGACTCGTTTTGCCTTGTAAAGAGCAGCGAAGAAATTATCGTCAACAGGCTCGGCGGTTGATGTCAGAGAGGCGACCTCGTCATCAGAAAGGATAAAGTGACTGCGCAATGTCTTGAGAAGTTGCTGTTTAGATTCCACGTCTGCTCTCTGATTCATCAACGACGAAGTCTCTTCCAGGATAGGCCCCGTCTCCTGCTGAACTGCAGTAATCCGACCCCTCACATCTTGATAGTTGTGATTTAACTTGTCCAGGGTAGCCCCTATGCGACGCAATTGCTAAGGGGATGTTAGTCAACGAATTGGTGATTTTGGGCCAGGGGACTCACATCGGCGACTCGGCCAAACTGGGAGACAATCTCCCCATTGCTATCAATCACCTCCTTCTGTAGGCCTAACCGTAACTGACGGCGTGTCTCGGGCGTATTCTTGAGGTTGCGACTGTCGAGCAATTGCAAGGCATCCCGAAATTCGGAATCGGCATACGATGTTGACAGAACAGTAGTCACCTTGGATGAGATAGGGTTCAGCGCCCTCGCCGATGATGTGGTTGAGGGCGACTGGGGCATATTGCCGATACTAGAACTGGACACATCTCTGCTGGGCAGTGGTCTCAAGGAAGGCGGCGGAGCAGAGACCATGGTGAGCAACGGTACGTGAGCCAGCCGAGATCATCAACGCGCTCGAAAGAGTGGCTGATGATCAAATTTAGAAGGGATCAGGATACCAGGTTGCAACGACTAGTTGCCTACGGGGGAGTTGATATGCCCTTTTTGGTTGGACTGACACCTGTAACTAGGGATTAAGACACGAAGGATAGAGAACTACCTTCTTCTCCATCCCTACCTTGAGTTACGTAAGATACCCTGTACTTCCAAAACAAGCTGATTTACGTGCCTCACAGGTCTAAGGTAAGTTCCATGGGTACCCCAAAGGGTACCGGTACTCCATTGGTGAGTCTTGAGGAAGGGTACCTAGATACCCACGGTACTTACCTCAGGCGCCTTAGGTGCCTTAAGTTACCTAAGGTACCTCAAGCTGAGATAAGAGATAAGTAAACACGTTTATAAGACACCTTATGACGTTCAACCTCTTGGGCCAAAGAACCTAGGTAGGGAAGGCGGTCGAGAATACCTTAATAGCTGAAGGTATTGATGGCAAAAATGACTTGACCGCCTGCTACCTGTGTCCACCTTCCCCACTCATAGTGTCGCCTGAGCCATGCCGTCACCTGGATGTGTGCGCACCACCAGCTAAGGTACCTAGCTGCCTACTTGCCGGAGGGACCTGGGAGACTGACATGGGAAGCCAAAGCAAAAGGTGCTGGCCCCTCCACGACCCGTTCAGAACTTTGATAGACACTACCTACTTTACTACAGCTTCGGTATCCTTTGGGCGTTTCTTCTGTCTGCCGCTTAGGTGAAAACCGTCCGTCCCTGGCGACGTTGGTGTGGCACGCTTGGTCGACATAACAGACATATGCAGGCAAGGCATCCATCTATCTCTGCCTACCTTAAACAGCGCTGCCGTCTTCCTCTTCTTCCTACCTACCTTACCATACGCACTGTAATCGCCTTTCTAGGTACTCTCCTGACATCGGACTGAGAGATTCCCTGTGCAGTAGCTAGCTTTCTTGTCTCACTGCGTTATCGAATTACCTACCTGAGCTGACCAGGCGTCACTCCGCATAGGCTTGTGAGTCTGAAGTCTTTCACCCCAACACTTCCCAAGGCTTCTGTCACCTGCAACCACCCGAGATAGCCACATGACCGCTAAATCACATATCAAGTGACGACAACAGGGCTAACTTCGAACCGTTTTGCAGTTTACACCTCACCACTCTCCCGAGCTGTCCTAAAGACCGGTTAGGAATGCGATAACAAACCGACTTTTGCCTCCAAATCCGACTGCCTCTCGTCGCGCAAGCTGCATTCGTCCTCCTCCTCCAAACCAGACCCCGACCTAGCGCCATGAGCGACGACCATAAGCCTTGACGACCGATTACTCCTTCGCGAAACCCGATTTGCCACTCTTCGACATGGCTTCCAATATCTTCCCTCAACTCGGCCCACTGTCTCGAGGGTCGAGGTCGTTTTACAAGGAACTCAGAGGAGATACTGACGGCGACCTGGATATCGAAGAACACGCAGGCCTGGATGTGGACGAGGAAAACCTGCAAGAGCAGTTTCAAGACTACGACCTGGACCACATGCCAGGCCTCACAGCAGAAGACAGCCACGCGACTCTCGACAGTAATGCCAACCTGCTCAAAACACCTGCAGGAGCCACACCGGGGCCGACGGGTCGCGGGACTCATCGCGGCGGAATCCGACAAGAGTCGAGTCCACGATGGCTGGGACAGGATGACGATGGAGATAATGACGTCCCGGCTTCTTTGCTGGTTGAGCCACACGAAGTAGAAGCGCAGTCCAAAGGATCTGGACGGAGGAAGCCAGCTGCTACTCCGTCGAGGCAAAACGCAATACCTGGTCCCTCTAGTCGACGAACCCATGCTCAATGGGAGGCAACACAAGCGCAGCAAAGGCTTCATCCAGCAGATCCCGTCAAACCAATCCGGCCCCAGGCAAAGCGATACTCCAGAGGCCTTGTATCTAACAACGAGAAAGAAAAGGCTCTTTGGAGATGGGTTAATGTCTCGAACCTCGACTTCTTCGTTCAGGATGTCTACTACTACTATCGAGGGAGCGGTTTTTGGTGTATTGTGTGCGCGCGGGCGTTGCACCTGGTGTAAGTCGAGACTTTGGGTCTGCTGGAGGTTGACAGTACACGTGAAAGATGCTGACCATATATTTTCAGAGAATCTGCCTTCTTCGCCGTATTTTTGACCTTTCTTACTCAATGTGTTGAGTACACGAAAATCCCCAACAGCAACTCATTGAAAGAAGTCACAATTCCCCAGTGCACCAGAAAGATGTCATTCATGTGGAACACAGGCTTGTGGCTGTACGTCTTCTACTTTATATGGAAGACGGTACAATTCACCATGGATCTTCGGCGTCTGAACCATATGCGCAACTTCTACGTATATCTACTAGAAATACCGGAGGAGGATATGCAGACCGTTTCCTGGCAAGACATCGTTGCCCGCGTTATGGCTTTGCGGGACGCGAACCCCAAAACAGCCATCAACGTGCGCCCATCTGCGCGAGAGTGGATGCGCAATCAGTCCAAGGAGAGACTGGATGCTGCAGACATTGCTAACCGTCTCATGCGGAGAGAGAACTACTTGATAGCCATGATGAATAAGGATATTCTCGACCTTACGCTCCCGATACCCTTCTTGCGACAACACCAGTTCTTTTCCCGAAGTTTGGAATGGAACTTGCATTTCGCAATCCTGACATATGTCTTTGACTCCAACAACCAGGTTCACCAAGAGTTTCTCAAGGCCGATCGCCGAGGCCTCCTGAGCATCAAGTTGAAGTCGAGGTTGGTCTTCGCCGGGATTATCAACTTATTGATTGGACCATTTGTGGTCGCTTATCTCATTGTGGTGCATGCATTCACGTACTACAATGTAAGTCCTTTTCATTTTGATGTCACGGAGATCACATCGGAGAAGCTAATATATTGGGCAACAGGAGTATCAGAAAGACCCTTCCACTTTCAGCCATAGAAGGTACACGCCTCTTGCAGAGTGGAAGTTTCGCGAGTTCAACGAGGTCCCGCATCTCTTCCAGGAGCGTATTAACATGTCTTATCCGTTTGCGAGTCGATACATTGACCAGTTCCCGAAAAAAATGACGGAACAGTTTGCTAGAACGGTAACCTTCGTCGCAGGGGCCATTACTTCAGTTCTTGCTGTCGCCTCGTTCCTCGATCCGCAGCTCTTTCTCGGGTTCGAGATCACATCCGAGCGATCAGCACTGTTCTATATCGGCGTGTTCGCCGCCATATGGGCGGCTGCAAGAGGCATGATCTCTGAAGAGACAACTGTGTTCAATCCAGAGCACGCCTTGCTCTATGTCATTGAGTACACGCGCTATATGCCAGACCACTGGAAGGACCGTCTTCATACAGCCGACGTAAAGCGTGAATTCTCGGAGCTTTACAAGCTCAAGCTGGTGATTCTGATCGAGGAGATCATTGGTATACTTACGGCCTCGCTGGTACTGATCTTCTCGGCACCGAAATGCAGCGATCAGATCATCGATTTCTTCCGGGAATTCACAATTCACGTGGATGGAGTTGGCTACATCTGCTCCTTCGCCGAGTTCGATTTCAAGAAGGGCGTGGGCAAGGCCAAGCAACAATCCGGCCCTGGCGATGTTCGAGAAGACTATTATTCCACGAAACATAACAAGATGGCGGCATCTTACTATGGCTTCTTGGACAACTATGTGATCAACCCGAAAACGGGCATTCCGGGCCATTTGCCGCCAGGGAGTCGCCATCCTTTCCATCCTCCACCAGCGTTCCCCGGGCTGAACTCGCCAACGCTAGCGGCCGATATGCAAAGTTCCAGACTGGGTCGGCATGACCTATCGCGAAGTCGAGCTCCTCCTGGTGGTGGAGTTGGCCAACAAACCCGAACGCCGAGGTTCGGGCCCTCCATGACGGCTCCGTCGCCGATGGCATCAATGCTACTCGATCCACACCACCAACCGGCCGCAACAGGGTTCGGCGCCCGAAGTACGCATCGGAGCCGACCCGGTCGGGGGGGATACCAAGGTGAAGGTATAATTGAAGAGTCAACTGAAGACGGGCTCGGTACAGACGCCCGACTGCATTCTCAAGGACCGTTTGAAGACGAGATCTATGGGGGCTCAGGACCTTTAGGCGAGTCTGTATGGGAGACATCGCCGCCCAAAGGGTTGAGTCGAGAAAACAGCATGGCTGATGCAGGCGAGCAAGACGCCGGGGTACTGGGGCTGATTTACCAATTCCAGCAGGCCCACCGTAGCAACCCCCAAGGCGGAGGAGGGCTCTAATGCGGTAACACCATAGACAATGTTATGGTTTCGTTAACTATCTAGTAAACGAGAATGAAACTTGAATAAACGGTCCAGGGGGGCATGGATTCAATGGCTTTTCACACTTTCAGTCTTTGCCGCAGGTCTGCCACGCTTGGCAAAGGAATGCGAAGGAGAATACCCGGCTCAAGAAGCCCAGTCGTACAGACACAGGTACTATTGTTATAGAAATGAAATAGACGACAATGACTATTTGAAGAAGAATTGAAAATCTTAGCCACTAGCACGGGGATTTGACTTTCTCTTGCTTTCGCCGACGGGGCGGACGCCGGCCCGGACCGGGAAGGGAGGTGTCGTATCTCCGAGCAGTCCGCACACGTGGTCCGGAACACCGTGTGAGTGCCTCTGGGTGAGGTGGTTTACAGAGGAGGATAGGGATGCAGCAAAGGCGCGCCGCGCAAGCTTGAATTCGCAACAAATAAGGGGTTGCAAGAGAGTCGAGCTAAGTCAGTAGGAGGAGTTTCAAACATCCGAGTGGCTACGGGCGGTAGGTTCTAGGTAGGCTGCGTACATCGTGAGTACTAACCAAGTAATAGCTCACGAAGCAATACGGGTCCTCGGCACAGTGGAAACGGCAAAGAGTTTTCTGTCGGACGCATGACGAGGTGGATGGGCGTTCTAGGGCTGGAGATTGATAAGATGAGATTAGATGCACGCAATGGAGGCCCGAGTGCCGTGTCAGTAAAGGGCGAAAGGGCCAAGGGTACTGACAACCGAGATGAACGAATATGAGAGCCTTGATCGTATCCCGTATTGCACCATTGCGATTGCAGTGAGACAAGACGGCTTCTTGTTCTGTATGGCGCTCTCTTCCGTGTTGTCTCCTTTCCCCTATCAGCCGCAGGTCTGCAAACATCGAGCCCGCGAGCCCATCGTGTTGAATCCTACTATATGCCATGTTTGGAGAAGAGACAGGCAGAGCGAGAGAGGGGAGAGTGCCCTTGTCTTCGTTGGCTGTATTCGCATCCGTACCGTGTACGCCGACCATGCCGCAGTATCACCTAATTCAGTGACAGGGGTGGATGGCATGACCCGCCAAAGGGGTGCGATAATTCCAGAACCGAGGCCGGAGGTTCCATGATTTTAAGAAGAAGTATCGAAGCGAGGACGCAAACGAATGGGTCACTGCGCCCCGGAGCCTTTTGTCAAACCTGGTTTTCTCAAGGGTCAGATGCTTCTCCTGTCCTTCTAGAAAGACGACGAGACTCGAGAGTGAGTGCCGGGCAGGGGCGTGCTTGTGAGGCTCTCAGGGCATTACCACTTGGCTGGATTTGACATATTGTTTGCAGTGGAGGTGCTCACTCTCTAGTATTGAGGCCCAGCTCAGGGACCCCATCACCACCTCAGCCATCAACCGGGTAGCTTCGAAGTCACTTTGTTCTCCTAGCCACTCGCCGGAGGGCGCTTGTAGGGAGAGTCGGAGCACTGGAGACACCGGCCAGGCGGATCCATTGAAAGCACGGGCTGGACCCGGGGGGTCGGCCGAATCCTTGACGGACTTGGCTAAGCGAGTGAAGAAAGGTACGGATAAACCGAAGAAAAAAAATAATGAACACAGTAATCCTCATCTTGGAGGTTTCCGATACTCGTTTTGAGCACTGATGATGGGAGTCGGAGGTCCAGCCACCCCTTGGTGTCATCTCGAGCTAAATCTGGCGTCCTCAGATGGAGGGAAAAGATTGAACGATACATCGATACAAAGGCTGAGGTATTGGGGGCGACTATTAGGGTGGATGTGGTCACATCGGATGTAAAGTCAGCGTCATGAATTGTCTTTCTGGCATCTGCACGGTCAGGGAGGAAAACATAGAAATGACACTGCCAATACCCAAACGATACAAACACTGGCCACACTGCGGCTTACCGCGACCGCGGCGTTCGATTGATTCACGGACACAGTAGTGTGGTTGATCCTACGGATACATGTGGATGGAGAGACGTGGCGAAGGGTCAGCAGACAGAGATGAGATTGATAACAAAAAGTCAGGGGAAGAAATCCACACAGATCTTGCTAGGATGACCCACTCTGCCTGCCACTGACCAGATTTCCAAAATACCAGATGCAATGATAGCCTCGATAGGGAGAGACTGGGACTGGGGGAAAGGTTTTGACAAAACAGAATGGAAAAGCTGGATAAAAGATGTCAACTGCCTACTGGCTGCTGGCAAGCCGGGTCTTGGGGAAAAGCGGGCTGCTGATCTCCGAGGCCGCAACAGACGAGACCCGAGGTTGGACTCTGGAATCTGGACTGTCCATTTGAGTGTTGAGCTGGAACACTTTTGAGGACACTGTTTGGCACCGGGCGGAATGGAACACGGACAAAATCTTTTTTCTGGGGTGGGGTTTTTTTTTTCTTTCCCTCTTTCGTTTCTTGGTTTTTTCCCCTTCTTCTTGACCTATTCCCGGTCTTGCTATTCTGATGTCTACTTGTACGCAAACATTGGGACAACAATACGTTCTCTCATTTTCCAGGTAGAGAAATGTTGGCTCACTGTGTCGCCATGCTCTGCCATTTATCAAGATTCAGTAAACACTCGTTACTTGTTACGAGCAATTCCAAGGGTGATATGCCTGTTTGCATCTTAGCGATGTGGACATGCCAACGCATATCCAGAGACATTTACTTAATGTTCCAAGGGCAAAGGTGCCCGAGATATTGATCAATGCCCGTTACCCTACGGCCAAAAGTCCGTTGGCGTAGGAAGATACCTTTGGTAGGCCGGGCTGTAGTTCGCCCGGGAACCCCTGGAAAACCACCTCAGCTCGCCTTCAACCCGCTGGAGGGAGAGACTTCTATGACTTCTATGACCGAACCAAGTATCTTCCAACTGCCACTAATGTACCTTACCTTACCTTACCTTGCCCTGATACATCTACCACTCGACAAGATAGCTAAGGTAGGTAAGGTAGTCAAGAGATGTGCGGAAACCGCAACGCAGAGCGTGTCTCACGAACCAAGTAATAATTGTTTACCGGGAGTTTTGGGCCAGGTAATGTGAGGTATGTGATTTCTCCCCATTCTCTGGGTACGAAGTCAGGTACCTCACGCAGTACTCCGTACCCAAGGTGCCAATACCTTAGCTCCCCTCTCTTTCTCGGCCCCGACATCCAATCCACACTAAATGTACATTCACGTTAGCCCCGGCCTCCACTGCCTGTGCTTTAACTGACTCTGCTAGCTCCAATTGGCCTTTTTTTATTTTATTTTTTTCCCTCTCCCGCTAGTTACGACGTGGTTTGGCCTTCCTTACCTCCGCCGTTCCTACAACCTCAACTCTCGCAACTGCCACCTGCATATCAACCGTGCATCGCAACTCCCAACGCACGGCGCCGTGAGCTTCAAGGTCGCTTCTCCCTGATAGCTCCCATTGCACTCGCCCTCGTCGTTGCACGCCGCTGCCCGACACTTGTCGACTTTTCCCGGCCGAATCGATCATCGACGGCCCTATCCGATTGTACGCCCAGAGCCATAGGTTTCCCTACGCCTACGAGAGCAGATCGCGAGTAAAAAGGAAAGGAAAAAAAAAAAAAACCAGAGAAGCCATCGACACAGACGGCCAACGCGATATTTTCCGTCTCTCCTTCAACGAGAGCTCCTCCCGCCACATCCGTGGTCGCCATCGCCGACCCCCTCGATCCCCCTCCAGCTGTCAATCTGGCGGCTCTTCAGCCCAAGCCCTACGGCGAAGCATCTGCTGTGGCCGCAATGGCCCAGCCCAATGCAGAGCCCGCCGAGGAATACGAGTGCGCAATGCCCCCATCTACACATTCATCACGCCCACATCTTTCGCCGCCACCCTTCGCCCTCGACTCTTCTTGACGATGACGCACACCATACCAGTACCCTCCTGCTGACTCTTTGCTCTACCAGCTATGAATCTCTACCGCCCAACTTTTCCCTCGTGCAGAACATGGCTGCCGGGGCATTTGCGGGCATAGCGGTACGGCCTACCCTTCACCTGCGGTCTCGGCCCCGAATGAGCTGGCCCGCCTTCAAATTTGATATTCCAAAAGATCCCGGATGCTGATCGTTACATTTGCAGGAGCATACCGTCATGTATCCGATTGACGCCATCAAGGTACGATGCGGCTCCCTTCCATCACTATAGGAATCGCAAACCATCATCCGCTAACCCCGAGCTTTGCAGACCCGCATGCAGGTCCTGAACCCCAATCCCTCGGCCGTCTACAATGGTGTGATTCAAGGTACATACCGCATAGCTAGTCGCGAGGGCGTCCTGAGCTTGTGGAGAGGCATGTCCAGTGTTGTTGCCGGTGCCGGTGAGTGATTCCCTACCAGCACGACCGCTATCATACTCAATGACTCCCTTTTGCTCACTATCATAGGTCCCGCTCATGCTGTTTACTTCGCTACATACGAAGCTGTCAAGCATGTTATGGGTGGCAACCAAGCTGGTGTACACCATCCTCTGGCCGCTGCGACCAGCGGTGCTTGCGCTACGATTGCCAGCGATGCGCTGATGAACCCTTTCGATGGTGCGTGGTCTCAACATCATCTTATCCCTCTATTCGATATTCCCAGTAGCTGACGTAGAGTTATTTATAGTCATCAAGCAGCGCATGCAGATTCAGGGGTCGGCCAAGATGTACCGTTCCATGACCGATTGCGCCAAGTATGTCTACAAAACTGAGGGGTTGGCGGCTTTCTACGTCTCTTACCCGACCACGCTCTCCATGACGGTGCCCTTCACTGCCCTCCAGTTCTTGGCGTACGAGTCTATATCGACGGCCATGAACCCCAACAAGGGATACGATCCCACAACACATTGCTTGGCTGGTGGTGTCGCCGGTGGTTTCGCTGCCGCTTTGACTACCCCTATGGATGTCATCAAGACGATGCTTCAGACCCGAGGAACTGCCACCGACCCAGCATTGAGGAACGTGAACGGATTCATGGCTGGTTGCCGGTTACTGTACGAGCGTGAGGGTTTCCGCGGATTTTTCAAGGGTGTGCGCCCCCGCGTGGTGACCACCATGCCCAGCACGGCCATTTGCTGGTCTGCCTACGAGGCTTGCAAGTATGTTGCCCTTAATCACTCATCAGCAAAACACTATTCTAATACAACAACCTTGCAGGGCCTACTTCATCTCCAAGAACGATAACCCGAACCCTTGAAGGCGGTCCGCCGCTGTGCATATAGAAAAGAATGTCATTGACGATTCGATCACCGATTAGAGCGGTCTTGTAAATTTAGAAAGCAGGGTCGAGGCCCATGAGGAACTCGGACCACCGAATTGGTCTTTTTATACTTGGGGGTACAATAGGCACGATACCAGCAATCCCGGCGAGCATTACTCTTCCTCTGCTAAGTAGTGACGTGAGGAATGACACACGCCGTCTTCCAAGCGGGTCTATCTGGTGCCGGGGAGCTGGTGGTTTGGCAAAATGCAACGTTTGAAAGGATACTCAACATGTTGGCGTCAGGAAATGACGGACTTGCCTGGAGTTGGTATGCTCACGGACGGATTTATAGAAACTAATCTGATATGCCGTCCCTCACTCTCCTCTACATTCGCCATGATCTGTCATTGGCATGTTCCGCCTCCACGGGCCTGTGACAGCAATAGGTAGACAGCACTGAGCCACCGTTTTGGTATTTGTCAAGCATGCAGGTGATCTCGGTGCGCAATATTCAGGCTGAGTTAAACTATTGTGAGCCTCCAGCATGCGAGGCTTGTCCTCTGCCGATGGCATGATCTGTATGGTGTTCTTCGTCTCCTTGCGAACACCGTCACTCTGATGGCAAGCGCAATTATCTTGACGAGGCTTGGTGACATTTCAACGCTTCAAACCAAAAGCCAAGATGGAAACATGTGTTGGCACATTGTGTATATCTCTGACACCTAGGACAATGGGATCAACCCCAGAAACTGGAGAAGTGTGCACTTGACTGGCTTCTTGCCTCGTGGCCTAGAGCCGTTTCCCCGTCTCAAACTACGAATGACGATAAAATGTAATGCTGGCCGTTGAGTGAGGCCCCGTGAAACTCCAGGCTTTGACCTATAAAACTCCTTGATTCCATGCTGCGCTCTCCCTGAGTCTTTCTCGATGCTGTCACAACCCTGTCTTCATTAGAAGGGGAAGCCGCCACCACCGCCTCCTCCGCCAAACTTGAAGTGGAATTGCTGGCCTCCACCGCCGCCGCCCTGCTGGAACATGAACGGATGGCCGCCGCCAAAGGGGTTACCCTGGAACGGGCTGCCTTGCTGCTCCTGGTTGTTCGGGTCGTCGCCGCGGTCGAAACGTTCGCGGAGCTCAGGGTTGCTGAGGACCTCGTACGCCTCATTGATGGACGCCATCTTCTTCTCCGCCGCCTCCTTTGTGAGCCCCTGCTTGGCGGCCTTGTCGGGGTGGTGAATCTTGGAGAGCTTGCGGTACGCCTGCTTGATCTGTCGCTCGTCGGCGTCGTGAGAGACGCCGAGCACCTTGTAGTAGTCCTTCGTCTTGCTCCGCTTCAATGCAATCTGGGCCTTTTGCATGAGGGGCTGGACAACGTCGTTCTTGTCTGGGCGGATTTTGCTAGCCTCCTCGAAAGACCTGATGGCCGCCTCGAACTCTTCTCCCTCCATCATGACCTTGGCGCGGTATAGCAAGCCATAGAAGGATTGCTCGTTGAGAGCGAAGGCCTCTTCGCAGTATTGCTTGGCCTTCTTGCCGTTCATCTGTGGCGGTTATTAGCCAAATCATGTGCAGCTTCTTCCGTTGAGTGCTGTACTTACGTCGTAGTAACCTTGGCAGGCCATTTCTGCCACTTGAATGTACAGCGATGGCTGAGCGTTGGAAGGAATTGTGCCGTCGGCGCGCAATTCCTCGACTTGGGTCTTGATGTCTGTGATCAATCCAGTGTCGTCGGCAGAGTCGATCAGGAGCTTGACACCAGTCATGGGCTGGTTCTTCTCGAAAGCTTTGTTAACCCTGTTCAGGGTCTTTTCAATGGCCTTTTGTTGCTTCAGAAGCTTCCTACAGGGCTTCGAATCGGGATCGGAGTGCAGGCACTTCCGCGTCTGAGCCATGCCGTTCTGGAGATCACCGAGTCCGTAGAAGGTAATGGCGGCGATCTTGATGTGCGGCGTCGTGTCTCCCGGTCTCATCTGCAATACGTGGTGCAGGTCGCTCATGCCTTCCTCGACCTCACCCCGCTGGAAACGGCAGCGCGATCTCATCTCACGCAGGGAAATGGCTCGATTGGCGGTCATGATGGCCTGACCGGCATGTCCCACGCAGGCTTCCCAGTCGCCGCTCTTCTCAGCTGCCTCGGCAAGGTGGGCAGCGCCCTGAGCCTCGTCGAGAGCAGCGAGCTCAGCTGACGCGGGGTCCTTCTTGGCCAGTTTGTACTGCTCCCTTGCGCCATCCCAGTCTGCAATCTTGGATTTGATCTTGGCCAATTGCACATGGGCACCCTCGAAGCCGGGCTTGAGTGACAGAACCTTGTTAAAGTCTTCGGTTGCCTGGTTCGTACGGCCGAGGGAGAGGTAGGTTGTCGCGCGCTTGAACAGCGTCAAGTAGTTGGAAGGATCGCGGGCGACGGCGGCATCGTAGTACACAAGTGCATCGGACGTCTGGCCCTTTGATAGGTGAGCTTGAGCGGTGGTCAGGAGGGAAGACACGGGGGTATCGGAGGGTATCTGGTCGGCGGATATGGCGAGAGTGGGCGTCGAGAGCAGACTGGCTGCGAAAGCCAGGGCGCAAAGGCGGACGTACATGGCTGGCGCCAGGTGATTGCGAATAACGAGTGTAGGGGAATTTGTTGCTCAGATTCGGATATGAGGACGGGAGTATGTGGACAGGTTTCGAAGGAGAAAGAAGACAGGACTCAGGCTTAAGAAGAGAGGGGAGGGGGGGATTGGGGCGGGTATAAAGAGAGTGAGGAAATTGGAAAAGTTGTCCTCAAAAGAAGCCAAGTAATACGGATAGGATGAAAGCTACATATGACCACATAAAGCTAAGGTTGTGGGGCAAGTACTCTTTAACGGGCTGACAGTGACAAGCCTCCTTCGTTTGTGTCCTTCTCCCAGAGATGCTGTACGTTGTTTAGAAGTACACAAACACCAATCGGCTCTTCTAATAGCCATAATTGTCTCGAACAACTGGCGCACCATGGCAAGGCAATACCAAGTCATAGACATGAACACGAATCTCCTTTTCCTTGAGGTTCCTTAAGTAAATAATGCATGGCAAACCGGCAAACTGGATAGCGCATTGCCTTGAAGTTGCCACCCCTGGAGGATCGAGTCGCAAACTCAATATTCCGTCAATGAATGCGATGGGGACTCTCACTTGGGAGACGCGCTGAAGTGTCCAGATTTCAGTAGACACAACGGAGATCGGGCCCACTTAGCGCCTCTTTGCAGGGGTCTCGTTGACACTTTGCCTAATTAGGTGGAGCTCTGTACCTTACAGAGAACTACGTACCTTACCGTTCGTACCCTGCATCTCACTTGCATTGCTTTTCAGAACCTCCCGCCGCCAATCAGTCGCGAGACAAGGCAGCCATTGCACCTCATATTCCTCGACAAATTAACAAGAAACAACGACAACGATAGCTGCGGTCACTGGCCTGGTCACTCCACTGCTCACACCAAAGAGGGGTGTCTCTGCATGAGTTTCTATACAGGGAAAGAGACAGCTGAACCTCACCGCATCTCAACATGGCTCATCTTCCACCTTCAACAGCCATCTTCTCACCCTCGATAGCCCGGATCGCCGCCTCCACCGCCAAGGACTGGAGCTATGTTGATAGCTGGCTCGCTTCAAAATACCAGGGCCGTTCTATCCCGCCCTTCGAGCGCAGTCCCGAGACCCTCAAAGCCCTCCTGGCCCTGGCCAACATCAACGAAGCCGCAGATGAAGAGCGTGAACAAGTCGCTCGAGCCGAGGCCGCCGCCCTCCAGGAGCTCAGCATCGCCCAAGACCGCTCCGAACCCCAATCAGACCTCCCGACCTCGGCCATCGTCCGGGAGAGGATTCTCGGCACCGTACAGGATCACCTTACCCGTGAAGGACGCACCGCGCTGAATTCGCTGGCCACCCTGTCATGTCAACTCTCCGTAGCCCACCCCGATGCTGAGAGTATTGGCCGTTCCATGATTGCTCTGCACGCCGAAGCCTCAGAGCTAGAGCAGATGCGCGTTCGGGTGCACATCCTCCAAAGCCATATTGAGCGAGAGGCTGCCATGGCCCGCGAGATGCTGCGCACCTTGAGAAGCGACGACTACAAACCCGTCACTGACCTGGCCCGGCAGAATTTGGACATGCAGAGAAGGATTAAGACTATGGCCGCGCGCATCCCTGAAATCAAGGACCGCATGGCTACCCTCAACCAACCCCCAACTGTCTCCCATCCTACCATCGAAAAGGTTGCTCAGGACGAGGCCGGCTTTCTTGACCTCCGCGCCCAAAAGAAGGGTCTGGATGCCGAAGTCGGCCAGTTCTCCGGTCTCCCCGATGATGTCGCAACAGCCCGTGCCGAGTTAGAACACCTTCGCGCAGAAGTACGGGCCGTTGCGCAGCACCGCGATGCCATATTCGAAGGACTCGTTGAACGCGAAAGTCCCCGCAAAGGCCGTTGATGATTATTCTACTTCGTCTACAATACAGACACTTACAAGCTTACGCTTGCGTGTGTTGGGGGTATTTGAACAATGATTCGCTAAAGGCTACCAGTCTGCATCGACCCTTAGCCAGGCCGCTTTCCCCTGACTGCGCCTCCCAGGTTCCTAATCTGCCGCATTCCCAAACCTGATCTCTTGGCCGCCGGTGGTGCAGGTGGAGGAGGATCTTTGATTGGAACAGGTGGCCCGCTGGTGTTGCGTGCCTCTTTTGGTCCCTTGGAGTCGAGGTTTTCTCCGAGCCGCAGATCCGCCACACCGAGGCTGCCTCGGCCTTCCTCAACATCGCCAGAGTGTCTCTGGGCTCGGCGAGCCCGTTCCTGGACGGTGCGGAACTTCTCCAGTAGCTCATTCCACCGAATGATGCTATCCTCTCTACTCTTGAGCCTATTCGGCCTGTCGTAGCTTGAGCTTGCAGTGGACGGTGGATTCCTAAGAAGTCAGGGTCAGCAATTGTCATGTAATCACATGTTGAGGTTGCCTATGTCCTAGGGACAGGTACGGCCCAGTAGCACTTACGCCTTAGGGGCAATATGGAGGTAACCGATTGAACTGACAGCGTTCAAGCGATTCTTCAGGGCGGCAAAGGCCGAGGACTGGGGGAGGAGCATCAAAAGGCCGTACAGGCATTTGTACAAGTGGGGAAATTTCTCAGGCTCAAGCAGCTGCAGTCGGAGGTCTTTTGACTGTTAGCTGGAGTGAAATCATGGATTGTTGGGAACTCACAAGTGAATACAGGAGATTCTATCAACTGCACCAACTTATCAATCTGGATGAGAATATTCACCGTCATCTCCAGCTCGGCGCTGTGACCGCCCCATTAGCCCACAGTGGTCGTAAGAAATTCGCAACAAGCTCGAGACTCACAAAATTTGCAGGAGATTATAAGCCTGCTCGTAAGCCTGCGCCAACAGGCAGAGGGAAAAGGTCGCGACGGCGTTGTGGCACCACGAGCGGAACAGCGCGACAAAGAAAGTTTGTCCATCCTGTGAATTGTTCGTAAGCAAAGTAGTCGAAGTAGGAAAGTCGGTAATCTTGCCTTCGACTCTAGATTCCGAAGTCTCTTTCGCAACTCCGACAGCTCTGGAGCAGTGATGAGGTTGTTGTTCAGATTCTGCACCATTATGCTAGCAAATTCGACATCTTCCTCCTTTTCGATACAGTCTGCGAGTGTACGGTATATTCTCTCCGCGCTCAAGCTAACGCAAAGCTGACGGATGATTAGGTTTCCTCGTGTCTCAAGCAGTTTTCTGTCAGTAGCAAACAGCTGCAATAAGTTGACCATGAAGTTTGAAAAGTAGTCGTCTTCGCTGTTGCGAGAAATCTGTGACAGTAGCTGTAGATCTTTCGTGACGACAGTTTCGGCTGGATCCGAGAGTGTCTTAAGCAAGGCAGGGAAGGTTCCGTCGTTGAACGCGAGAACTTTCCGAGGAGCCTTCCGGTGAAGCATTATCAACCACGTCAAGGCCGCAACGCGAGTTGCTTCATGGTCATTGAGGAACAAGAGCGTCAAAGCGTTCACGGCTGCGGCATAGTCCAGATCTACCTGGGGATGGTTATTTGCTAGCGGCGCAACAGGTGTTGAGAGAGAACGATTGTGTCCCTGGGCTGGGGTTGGGCTTCGCATTTCGAGGTCCCGTGAACTAGAAAGAGAAGCTCGTGCACTAGATGGCCCCTCTTGCCGTTCACCGGATACTGGAATGCGTGACATGGACTGGGAGTTGCCGCCAATTTCAGGCTCGTCAGAGAGGGAGACGACGTAGTCCATCAGGCCGGCATTGACGCGTGCGGCAGCTTGGCGTATGGATTCAACACCACTGGCCATAGCAGGTAGCATGTGAGCCAGGACTTTGGGAGTGAATGGTAGCACCTCTTCGGGGCAAATGTCCAAGAACTCAACTATCCATCGTAGCGACTCCAAGAGAGAGTCCTCCTCTATCACACAAAGGGTCAGCTATGATTCGGGCTTGGGCATCGTGGTGGGGTGAAATGCAAGCCTTACCAAGGGGCGAGTCCAGAGTGGCGGTCAATATCTCGAGAATTTTTCGGTAGTTGATTTGGACATCTTGTCCTGGTACCCAGTCTTCCTCGCCGCTACTATCATCGTCGTCGGATTGCGAATCAACCTCGTCGCCCTCCTCCGGGCCGATTTGAAGACTCCCCGAATCTACGGACTCCTCGCGTTTCCGCTTTCCACCTTCACGCGACTTCTTGCTCTCAGCGATGCCTTTCTTGATCCTAGATATCCTCTTAATTTCGCTGAGGAACTTGTCGAGGCAGGCTCTAGTTGCAACGTGGACATCTCTATTTGGGTCACTCAGAAACCTGAGCAAACCACCGAGGAAGTCAGGGAGAAATGTGACGAGTTCCAAGTCGGGAATAGAGTCGAGCAATGTGATCCAGCCAACTAGGAATTGGCGGGTAAAGGGGTTGATGACCCAGATGCGCTCTTGGAGGAGTGGGATGAACCGGCGTAAGGAAAAGGCGGTGGGAGGGGCAGCGCGTTCTTCAAGCTCGTCCTTGTCGCTAAGCTCTTGCTGGTCCAACTCCCCCTCAAGGACGGATACGTATGACGCAGCGGATTCAGAGACAATGTCTTTGATGAGTCGGTCGAGCAGCTCGGCACCGTTTTTAACGGATAACTCAGAGTCAGCTCCCAGCTGTGTGTGGTCAGGTCAGAAACGCGGGCACAAGGAGACACTGAGGGATGCTTTTTGGACTTTGACGTCGATTGTACCAACCTTGCAGAGCGCATCGAAGATGTCGTTAAAGTATATCAAGATCTCCCCCTTGGCGACCTTGGCAATATTGTACATGGCCTCACAGGCATAGTATCTGACTCTCGCATCTTGATCGGTGAAGCATGCTAGCACTGGCGGAACGATCTTCTCGAGATAGCGAGGTAGCTCCTGTAGTGTTGGTAATCAGCCACAAAGGTTCAGGCCAATAATAGTGGTAACAGTCATTTCATGAAAGTTGCATGTTGGCACATACGTGACCGAGGGCGATGGCAGCTGCTGCCAGGCCTATCAAGCCTCCATTTCGGGCATGTGGTTGATGGACGGCGTAGGCGAACTCATTGCAGAGTTGCTCGAGGATTGCTTGGACTCTTGGATAGTCTCTAGTAACTACCAGTTCTCGGATGACCCGTTCGAGCCTAAGGTAAGTGGGAAACGAAAGAGTCAGCCACGGGTGGAGAGCATGAGATGAGTATGAGACGAAGTGAGATGAAGTGAGTGAGAATGGCGGTTGGGAATGGGGAGACGTACTCAAGTGCGCCGACCTTGCGCTTGTCATAGAGCTTATCGTTCAAAGCTCTCTGGATGCTGACTTCCATGGTTGATGGCGAGGTCGAGACAGCAACGACGGGATCATGTCCCGGAACGTTGGCGCAGGACCTTGTATGAGACGAGTCGGGTACAACCCAAGTCCAAGTCCAGGTGAGATTAAGGTAGGTACGAATATCAGTAGTCCGCGTTGGGTCGAAATGGTGGAGAAGGATACGGATAAGATGACAGGAGCCAATGGAGAATTGAACTGAGCTGAGCTAGGTGAGCTGAGCTGGGGTCACTCCCGGGTCACAGTGGCAGTATCCGTGTGTTTAGTGGGAGGTGTCGGGGACTTTGGTGACTTGGAAGCCGTCACTGAAGAAAACTAAACGAGTTAGGAGTTGCAGATGGAGGGGATGACGAAATGTCTAGAGGTGCCGCGTTGAAGTGTGATGTCGCGATAGGCGCGCGGAAGTGAGGCTGCAGCCGGGTTAGGAGCAAACAGAAGCAGGCAAGACAAGAAGGAAGCAGGCTTTGGGACCGTGGGACATCAAAAAAGAGGCGGGTGCAGGCGGCAGTCGGAGGTGGTGTGGCGTCACTGGCAAAGGACCACTGACTGGCCTCCGTACACCCAATGCCTTGCTGATGGGATGTACCTTTTTCCGTTTCCTCCTAAGCACCCGCACCTTCAGCAACGTACCAAGGTACTTGCGAAAGGCAGCTCCAAATCTTTCCGCGTCTTTGGGAAGCCAAGTTACTCTCAATAGGTACCAGACACCTCGCTTTCGAGTTCTGCACCTCAAGACGAGTCACCTAGGTACAAATGCCTGAATTACAGGAAGCCACAGCAGTCCAAGGCACCTTGGAGGAACTGCAATCTCCAGCGACTAAAGGTACACCGAGGGAAGGTGCCTTGGCATGGCTCAATATGGTGGGACAGCCAAGGTAACAGAATATAAAGTGAAGAGGTCCCTCCCCAGGCACTGGGTAGAGTATGGGTGCTATTTCTGGGACTCTGCAGCCGTGCGAACCTGTCGTCATCCTGAGAACGTGGTTGACGTGAGACAAACACTCACCTTCGTTAGCGGGGTAATTACTGGGAGTAAATTCTCAAGTACGGCAGGCAAACATCGACGACGTTGATCATTGCATTGAACTGACATTAATGCATCGATACAACTCCTTTATCTCCGGACAGAAATTTTTACAAACTTGGAGATAGCATTGTTCCACCCCCGCCATGTCATGTTCAATAGAGAATGTATCCTCGGCCACCGTCTGGTGTCTCTTGGTACAACTCCCAGAGACAAGCATCTACCGGTACACACTACGCTCTTTTCTTTTTCAGCTTCCTCCTCGCTTCTCGCCTCTCATCTTTGCCCCGCTCTTGAAGTCCCAGCAAATCCAATCAATGCTACCGAGCTTTCATCGCCAATTCGCGGGTACCAAACCTCGGCGGTGAAACGTCGCGACAATGGCAATTGTTCAACATGCTTCTGGCACCCCAGTGTTTGACGAGGAGAGGAGACTCCAAGAGAGATATGAGAGGACCCGTGGACCAATGACATCCTACACCAACCTGCTAATCCTGGTATCCAAAGCCAAGATGAAGACGTTGATTTCAGCCAGTCACAGTGTATCGTTTTCACCCCGAAATTCCAGTAATTTGGGTCGGCCTGATCAACTTCCATGTATCCCTACCCTACTCTCGACATTCTGCTGGATTCTGTTTCTTCCTCCGTCGGTCTCCTCTCACTCTTAACTACTATAGTTGATCCAGGCAGTCTTTCAATCATTGGCATCGTCATCATGACTCGGCTCCAAATCACAAGTTGGCACGGCATCAGCACATGGAAAAGCTAAGTAGTCGATAACGGAATCCAGTGGCCTCCGAAACGTCGTGCCAAGTACTAAGACATTATTAAACGTGTCTAACGACATGAAACTTCATCGATCTGTCTGCACGCTGAAGACACTACCAAGCTCCTCGCTCATTATCCTTTACTTGACTGGCCCCCTTGCGGATCCTTTCTCGACGAGCCTTGATTCTTCTTCTTGTCGAGAGTAATCCTAGCTCGCTGCACAAACTCATGCTGCTTCGTGTGAGCGGTAAGACTTTGTGAGGGTAGCTGTACCTGAATAGATGGATTATCTCAAACACTTACGTCCTCTCCATATTTTAGCCGGATTCGCTCGTATGCCTCCTCGTTCATTTCTTCCTGGAGATGCTTGGGCTTAGGCCCCTTTGGAGCACTCGGGGGCTTTGGGGGCCTCGGTGCCCTTGAGGCCTTCTTCTTCTTGCCCTGTGGCATGGTTGAAAGGTTTGGGAGCGGTGTGGAAAGAGAACTCGACAGCCGTTGATTTCGCCGTCTGAATTACTCGTCGGCTTAGCCAACTCTTCTTCGACTAGTCGTTTGGGTGACGGGCGACGGACTCGGATATTGCTCAAAGCTGAATGATGGCCGGATCTACGGGCTGGTTGTGGTAGGACACCCACAGAATCTGTAGAGGTAAGGGACTGTGAGCTCTGGAGATGCCAATAAAGGCGCTGCTGAAGAGACTGCCGAGGATCTCGAGTCATCTGGCAGGGCATATGCAGTACCTTATATACACTTCTCGACCTGCGCCTTAACTGTTCGTCAACAAAGCATTCGCAGAACTGCATACTAACACGCCCGGGATCTTCACCCGGTAGCTGCCCACCGCCTTTGGCTCCCTGGTCATGTTCGGTGAGCTGTTGAGGACCTGTTCAGGAGTTGCTTGTTCATGAGTTGTTCAGTCATCCCCCCTACAGCCGTGCCGAGAAACGTGGCGACGGGAGTCTATCGGACTATCAGATCCAGACCATCCTTTCACCAATCCAGAACGACGCCCATACTCCTGTCTCGAAGGAGGTCTGAATGTGGCACCGATGATTCCAAAGACAGTCGCAATTGGCGAGAATGGCTGCTTTACAATACGACCACCAGGGAAGTAAGTACATGGGTCGTATAGCCCCATCGACTGTTGTGAATACTTGGCTAACGGCTGTTACAAAAACATATTTGACGTTACGACTACGTCTTTTTTCCTTTCGAATACCAACGGGACGGGAGCACGGGGAGCCGGACTGGCCTCCGAAGATGACCGTCCCGTGTCACCCCGAAGCCTTGCGTCCATGTCTGCGCTGCAACCTGGGCAAGCCCGTGGTCTCGATCCTCCCTCCCCTCCCTCTCCATCGCTGCTTACTATTCTGTTATCACCACTTGTGGCACATGCTCCTTTTTTTGCTTTTTCCTATTAACCCCCTCATCGACTTGCTATGAAGGCTCTTCTAGTATCTCGAACCAGGCTCTATTCTGCCCATTTTTGTTCCATCGTTACTGATATGTTTTGAGGAGAACAGCGCCGAAGGAAGAGACCGCAGTCTGCTCGCTGATAGAGGGACGACAGTCTAAACAAGGCGTTCGTGTCCCCACGGTCTGAGAGGTTTAGCGCGTTCACTTGCCATGGCGCTGGAACCTCGTCAAAAGAAAACGGAGGTTGAATCAAGGGATTTTCCCGTCTGTCCGGATCGGTGTAGAGCTAGAGGGGTGTCCACCGCTTGGCGTTATTGCTTATTCCAATGTTACGTGGTGTTTCTGTACTTTTTTGGATTCGGACACCCCAGCTTTCATGTTGTCTCCCGGGACCGTTCCATCTTCTATCGATTGCCCCCTCTCCCTTCTCTCTCACAAGGAGTTGTTGAAACCTAGCTTAAGTGGCTTGAACCGGGTTACGTTCCGATATGGTCTGGGGTCTCACGGCCAGCAGCCTCATCGATTCCCAGATCGTGCATGATCCCGGGCCAGAATATCCGATCGGGAACGTGAACCATGGATCGGGAAAAGAGGCGTTTCCATGCGTGCCACGGCTGGGTGGAGGGGTATGCATCAGACGAGAGGTGGTCAAGAAAAGGTCCAAAGCTCCCATCGAGGTACTGCTGGGGCGCATGCCATGCATGCCATGTACCTCGTGGAAAAAGCCGGCAAGTATGAGAGGCAGTCAACATCTCTTTCCCTCGTGTCTCGCAGCATGGCTCGTTGAAACCCTGCGATCGCGCTTCTAGATCGTTCCGTCACTCCGTATTCCGACACGTAGGTTGTCTGCATGCCTGTCGTTGCACCGTTCTATTTCAACGTTCATTGGCCCGTGGGGAAACCGGGGAGCGAGGAGAGAATCCCACGCCGGTTGAAGGTCTTGGGTATGGTAGTAAGTTGCTGGTAACAAGTCCCCCTTGTCTCTTTCACACTCTCCTTTCTCCTCTTTTCTTACCCGCCCTTTCCTCGCGTACAAGGTGGAATAAGAAACGGTACAAACCATGTCAGAGGGCGATGGTTGATAGTGGCACAGCCAAAACCTCGGAAGTAGTCACATAGTCTCCAGGGGTGGTAGAGCAGCGGCTCAAGAAAGGTCGGGCGAAGAAGTACAGATCGGGCAACCCGATCATGCGGTCTGCCGCATAAGTTTGTCACACCGTATGCATGCCCCTTCGTTCGAACACAGATTTCCATGTCATATCAGATCGATTCTTCCAGATACTATAGCTAATCTTGGCTTGAGCGCCACATACCACATGGTTGGTATGCATGTCTCCTCTTCTCACATCATCCTCCTTACCACCCCCTGGTCGCGAATAGGGTCATTGGCTTCCTGTCCCCAAGGCGAGAGAGAGAGGTATCTATATGGAGAAGTACATTATGCAGCCAGATGACGAACATGAGACCAGCTTTTTTGAGATTCAGAAACAAGACCGAAACGGCCAACCGGATGCCATCAGTGACCATGGCCGCTCTGGATGTGATCAGCCGCGACCTTTTGGCATTTTGCCAAGATGGCAGCCTGCCGGGACACCTCGGCCAGCCGACCGATCACGTCCTTGTTACCGTCCACAAACCCGTAGAGGGCGTACGGGATGCCCACGTCGTTGCAAAAGTCCTGCACGAGCCGCTGGGTCTTGCGCAGATTGTGGCGTGGGATGCGCGGGTACATGTGGTGGACGACCTGGAACTGCAAGCCGCCGTGGAAGAAATCGAGCCAGGTCGGGCAGTCGACGTCCATGGTCGTCCGCAGCATCTTTTGCGGGAACGACTCGTGGGGTCCCAAGTCTGCGGTGCTCATGGCGAAGTGAGAGAGCGTGATCTGGACGTGCAGCGGGGCCTGGAACATGTGGCTGATGATTACGAAGACGAAGCGGTCCCAGTTGGTGGGAATGGACTTGTACACGATACCGTAGCCGAACCAGGCCCAGAAGAAAACCTGGCCAGCCACCTCGAGCCAGCGGTGCCACCAGGCGATGCCCTTCTTGGGACCGCGGCCCATGATGAGGTGGTCCCACGAGAGTCTGTACAGGTTGAAGCGGCCAAAGAGCATGATTGGGTAGTAGAGATACGACTGCGCCTTCATGAACAGCTTGGCCGCAAAATCGTATTCCATCACACGCTCGTAGTAGGTCGACGTCAAGTTACCAAGGAAGCGATGGGAGATGGCGAAGAAGGGCAAGTGCTCGATATCAGGGTCATGCTCGGGAGAATTCGTGACGATGTGGTGGACGTTGTGGTTCCGCTTCCACCATCCAATGGACAAACCGCCCATGAAGTCAGCGATGAAGATGCCAATACACGTGTCGACGTGAAAGTTGTGAGTGATGCCCATGTGCCCGGCGTCGTGAGCGGTGAAGACGAGCTGGTGCCAGAAGCAGCCTAGACAAGCTGCACTTGGGAAGTACCAGCCCCATCGCAGAAACGTCAGCATACCGACGAAGAGAAGCGTATACCGTGATACTTCAATGGCGTAGGCACGATAGTCGCAGTCATAAAGCCCTTCGGCCTTGATGCGCTTGTCAAGGAGCCTGTACTTTCGCACAATGTCTGACTGCGTCTCGTCGTCCAGGGCAGGGTACTTGTCGAGGTCGAGACGGATCTGTTTCCGCGTCTCCGAGTCGAGGAAAGCAGTGCCGTCCATCTCCTTGTCGTCGTGACCATCGTCAATGACCGACGTGGCCGAAGAGCCAGAGGCTGAGTTCGGGCTCGCCACGGCGCCGTTTCTGTGACGGACGTGGTTCTCAGTGGTGTCGAATACGGGCGAGGCTTCTCGTGAGCTGACGTCGCTGGGAGACGAGACGCCAAAGAAGCGCAATGCGTCGTCGTCCTCGGCATGGTCGAACTCGGGACCGCCCTGCTCGATCGTCCTGAACTTGCCTCCCTGAATGGGTGGGACAAAGTTCCTCCAGTGGCCCTCGATTCTGCCGATTCGATACCGAGCCATCTGCGCCTTGGCTTCTGGGGAATGCAGTCTGCCGTGATGCAAGACGATAATAAGCCATTGTGATTTCGTTTACTGTTTCTCTTCCTCTCCCTCTTCTCAGCCCGCGACGGGGAAGGATCTGGTGGGAATCGGGAGAGGAGCAGGGGTGCGCTTACACGGTGACCTCGTCGGTGGCATCTCGACCGACCATGTGCTGGATAGCCTTGTCGCCGCCAGGGTGGTATGCCAGCCACCCGTCCAGCTTGACGACGAAATCGTCAACTATTGTGACAACTCTGCCCTGTGCGATCAAATCTTCAATCTGGCGGCGCGACATGAGCGGGTACTCCCTCGTCCTCTTTGGCTTCCCACCGGAAGCCGTCTCCGCGGAGGTAGCCATTGCGCTTGCGCTCGCGGCTCCGACACGACCGTCTTGTGACGTTGCAATTGGGTTTTGACTGTCGGATGTGCAAAGCGGCAAAACTCAGAAAAGAGCTTGGGACGAGGAATGGCTGGAGCAGGTGCTGCAATACCAATGGAACGAACGAATTTGAGTTCTTGTAAGAAAAAAGCAGCCCCCGGGAATAAAAGAATGGGAGAAGTTAGAGGTTGTGCATTGGAGGGGTGGTTGGAGGAAAGGGAAAAACACCTAATCGGAACGTGGTAAGGGTTGCTGCAGCTTTGGTTCGCCCAAGCTCACCGCATCTTCCAATGTTGATCCGGCCGTCCAAGGTCCCTTGGACCGTACATCAAGGTATTGGACGGTACCTTGTGTCCGGTAACTAGGCACGTTCCTCAAGGTAGCCGTTACAGGAAAAGTGGCATCCCGTCTAAGGTAGCTCAGCTAACGAAAGCTTGAAATGCTTCCAGTGCGTCAAGAGTGTTTTTCTACGCGGTATAGACAATGTACACCGGCACTTGAGTTCAAGTGTAAGTGGGAGACAGGGAGCGAGGTTGACACTTTGGAGGGGCTCTGCGCGGCCTCTGCGCCGGGATCCGCGGCGAAAACCCATCCCGCTCTGTAATACCTCCACTATCTTAGGCCTAGGGCGCTGCGCATCCATGCTCGCCCTTGAATACCTATCTACACTATGTACCAACTTTACGGAGTACCTTGCCGTAGCCACGCAGCTAGCCAGGTACCGCCTCATCTCAGCCAATTACCTAACGAATCGGATGATCGGGGGCCGCTCGAGTCCGCTGGCCGTTGCAAATATACAGCCACAGCCACTTTCCTCTCAAGACAAATCGTTCGAGAAACATCACTGAACAGTTCCACCATAGCGTGTTTCCAGTTGTCTCAGCTCACATCTGCCTGCGAGTGCGCTTTCATTACCCCATTCCTCACTCGAGAACAGATATACGTGTACAGATGATCATTTTGAACTTAGGTTGACTGGGTAAATGAACCAAATAACTAACTTCCACTTCCTTTCTTCTGAGCTGCCCTCGCTTGCCCCCATCGCGATCACATGTATACATTTTCCCGTCTCCTTTTCCCTGGGGGCCACTCCCATCGAACGACCAGATCGAACAGGCCTTATCAGGTACTGTCGGACGTGTGGGTCCCGACGGCCCGGTCGACCGGTGCTTGGCCACGGAGGGCCATCGGATTAGACAAAGACAGTTCTACCTACTTGCCTTGCCTGACCTAATGCCACGGGTTTCACTTGTAGCCTTGCAGAGGTCCCCTAAGAATGAAAGTTGGGAACCAAAAAGAAGCTGCGCCGGTCTCTTCACAACTCAGATTGCGTCAGCCTGGTGAACTTCAGTAGATCATGAGACAAGAATCTCTGAAGACATAAAAATGCACGCATGGCCTAGGCCATGAAGGAAGATGCAGTTGAACAGAAATTCATTCCAAAAAAGAACTTGTTTTGTAATACATGTTACACGAAAGTTTTGATACTCGTCATTTCAACAAAAAAAATAATCATACGTATCCGCCTCGTCCTTGGCTTGCCCGCAGCCTAGCAGAAACAAACGACCATCTCGCTTCCTCCTCTAGCAGCCCTTCTACTTATTTTCCAGACGCCGAGTACAAAGCTCCAATGCCCCAGTACTGCTCCGCATTGAAGGTCGCTGCCTCGGCATGCTTCCAGAGGTCGTTGAAAGCAGAGAAGAGAATCACATCATTCGGATGGCTTGCGTATGCATTCTTGATTGAGTCGACGGCCAACTTTTGCTCAGAAAGACCTGGCACAGCGGCACCGTTGGAATTTCCCTTCCATGGCCAACCCGTCTCCGTGCAGACGATACGCTTGCTTCGGTCGGTGAGCTTGGCCTGGACCTGAGCAACCGTGTTGGTGATGAAGGCGCCAGCGTCCTTTGCCGCCGTGTTGCTGTCGAAGAAGGGGTGAATGTTCATCGCGCAGTAGTCGGAAGCATCACAAAGTGAAGGGTTGGCAAGAACCGCTACAAAGGTATCAACAGCTACGACAGGGCCGGTGTAACCTTTAGCGCGTAGGAGCTGGCGTGTCTCCCCGACAGCTGTTACGATTTGCTGTGCTGTGGCCTTGCCATTGTTGACCAATTCGTTGCCGACACTGACAGTATCGATCAGAGACCAGTCGCCGTTAGCCGCCGTACTAATGGCCGCGACTTGGTCAGAGATTGAGCTGATGTCAAAAATACCCAAGAAGAGCTTGAGACCGGCCTTCTTAGCCGCGGGAAGGGCGTTCGCGATCTGATTGCAGTCGGTACCGTAGGTGCGCACTACCGAGTACTTCCCCTTGAGCTCCGTGAAGTCCGCGTCGATCTCAGCGGCTGTCTTGCACAGTCCCGCTGCTGTGTAAGGGGCATATGCAATTCCGTTCAGGGTTGAGTTTGAAGTGAGAGTCGAGTTCGAAGTGAGGGAGGAAGGCGTTGGCGTAGAGGATGATGTTGAAGACAGGGAGAGTGAAGTGGTCGTCGAGGCGACCAACGGAGAAGAAGAGCCTAGGAGGTCACTGGTAAGATCTCGTGACGAGGTAACGCGGGTGGCTAGTTCCTCAGATCGGGATTTGAGATCTACAGGCTTAGAGGGGCGTTTGGCTGATTGCGATGGCGGCACGAAGCGGACCGTTTCGACGGTCGTTTCCAAGGGGGTGCCCTCTTCGTCGACATAGACAACTACTTGAGGGGCCTCGGTCGCCTCGTTGAGTGAAGAATCAGTCACGAGGATCTTCTCGGGCCCAAAAATTGCTCCTTTGACATCTCTAGTGCCTACACAATAGTGTTAGATATGCTCTTGAACTTCATGGCAACGAACAAGTCCGGCTCACCTTTGGGATGAGCAGCCGAGAGCCCAAGCAAGGCAGCGAGCGCCAGTGTTGACGAGATACCGGTAGACTTCATTTCCGTTTTGCGACTTTTCTAGCGTAGTGACGCGTGGTGATTGGGCCCGATTTAGGCAAAGTAAAAATACCAGAGAATATGGTGATTTAGACGCCCGTGGTTTTAGGCTTCGGTCGAAGTTGGATTTCGCTGGAACAGGATTGTTCAAAGTTAGGCTATGTAGCGACAGATTCGTGAGTTAAACAGGTTTGGAATCAGGATTGAACGAGAGAGAAGAATGGTAGGGTCAGAAAATGAGTGACTACAACGAAAGCAACAACATCAGCAGGAAAGGAACGAATCGCTGTCGATACAGCTTTGCACTACACGAAGCCAACGGCGACGAGCAATAGTATAGGACGAGGGAACGAAGACAAGAAGATGGAAAAGACGAGAAACACCAAATGAGGCAGAGATGGCGGGCATGGCGTATTCAAGTAGCGTCAGTCCTCCACCCCCACGGGGGCGTCCTTGGTACCTGGCTGTGACTTCTCGCGTCCCAATCATACAACAAAGTTGCTCGGCAGGGGCTTGATGTCTTGTTCCAAGAACTGCAGGAACGGGGTAAGATGAGGTACGGGAGACAATTGAATGGGAAATGAGACGGGAAGGGAGTAACGAGCGGAGGGAGAGACAGCGCAGCCGGAGGCAGGAATGTTGGTTCCCACTTGTAACAAGCAACACATTGCACTTGTGGAAAGAGCCAGCAGGTATCCGAGGGGCCGAGGAACCCCTCCCGAGGAATGTAAAATCACCAAGGAATCGATGTAGACCTCTAAACTCACTTCCGAAAATGGGTTTCGTAGCTCAAGTTGTTGTTGATTTGCAGAGTGTTGGCCACACTTTGTTCTCAGTATCTGGAGATAAAGATGAACAAATGTCCAGCCGTTGGTGTTAATGAGTTTCTGGTCCTCAATGTCGTCTTCTGAGTTCGACCAGTGTAGGTTCGATTGCTCCGAGTAAGTACAGCCAAGAACGCGATGCTTGACGGGTCTTAATCTTGTAATGTAGGTCAGCATTTGATGTGGAATTTCTTCCTGCTTGTGATCGACACACGCTTTGTGAGGCAAGCGCCAACTTACAGTAGATCAATGTATGGGAAGCGTTGCACTTGTATGCCAGGTAGGATTGGGTTCTGCAACTGAAGGAATGTTGTTTCTACTCAAGAAGCATAAGGAAAGTGAAGGGAGGCAATAGAGATGGTCGTCTCAGATGGTTCAATGAATGTGTGAGGATCTCGAGAGCTCATGAGATGAAAAAGGAACGACACCGAGGCATCTTATAGAGGTCGTATGATCAAAATACTCTGTAACCTGGACCCAGCTCCACACATATGGTTTAGAGCCTCCTGTGTTCTACCTCTTCAAGCCTCCGAGGAGGAAGACGACACAACCTGCCCAAGGCAGGTACTGTCAAGGCTTCTCGCTTGAAACCCTCATCGGCGCCGTGTAGGTAATCAAAGGCGGTGCCCGGTCTTCGAGAGGCGGCCGGTCTTTGAACGCCAATTTCATACAGGTACCCGATCCAAGTGCCTAGTAGCGCAATGGATTTACCGATTCGTACCTAGTCAAAAAGACCTTGACGCGTGTTCGAAGAAGACTCGTCACTCCCCCGACTTCTGGGGCTTAGTCTTGAAAAGCCATCGGAAGAGGGCAAAACGCGGATGGTAGAGCATGTCTAAGAGATGTATCGTTGGTCTAGAACACTAGCAGGACCCGAAGCTGCGGTTTGGCCGGATGAAGAAGGGGAAAGAGAGGAAACTTTCCGAAAGGTCTGGGCCTACGGAGTCCGTCGACATTGGTGGAGGGCGGCATAATGCCGAGTTATTGGGGCCAGTTGACCGTCCGCCCGATGCCGGATCCGGGGCCGAGCTGACAGCGGGAAGTGGGTGGTGGCTGGCATTACGGCCTTCGTGTTTGCTGCCATCACGCATGTCCCCTTTGGCAAAAGTTTTCCAGTCTTTGTCTAGCGTTCCGAGCTCTCTCTTGTATAGCTCCGCACCCTGATTGTTTCAAATTCCTGTGCGACAGGAGACGTCCGAGATGTAAATATTTGACTGCTGTTCCAGCCTCTGATTAATTAGTATGTATATGTATGTCATTACAAGTGAGCCCGCGAACTCTCTAGGGTATCCGAGTCCCCAGCCGCCGTGATCTCGATTCCGGTCATCTATGTTCGACACAAGTTCCCAGTACGCATGTGAAAACGACACCCGCATAAAGTCATTCCAAGCAGAGTATGAGTCAAGTACGCTATGATGACTTGGAGCTCGACTTCCGGGTCATGACCTTCGTGATGGCGTGTCGGATCGTGACACCTGCTTTCTCGATGTCCTTCCTGGGCAAGCCGGTGGTCAAGCAAACCTTGAGCGCTGGCTGAATCTGCCAGCTGTCGTCCTTCGGGTTCAGGTCGTTGGCAATGGGCATGCTCTTGAGGCGCGTAATGAGAACCCCGTTTGCAAGGGCCTTGATGGGCAAACCACGGTTAGCACCGTCTTCTTCTGGAATCTCCTATGTCAATGGCTTGCTTACCTCATCAACGCAGTCTTGTAGTAGCCTTTCTTGGTCCTCTCGTGTAAGCTTGCGCGCAGCGACGACCTCGGCCTTAAGCACAAGCAGCATGATAGGGTTCTCGGGCGAGCTGGTGCAGACGACCCAGTCACTGCGAGGGTCCAGCTGTGCCCTCATGGCTTTGGTGTTCTCACGGCACTGCGTAAGGATGTCCGGGTTAGATTGCAAAACGCTGAGAGTCTCGCTGGCGGTGACCGCAAGCATGGCTGGCAGAGCAGCCGAGAAGGTGTAAGAAGCTGCCGTGAGACGTTGGTGCTCAACAACATCCTTGGCACCGGCGCAGAAGCCGCCTCCAGCGCAAAGAGGGCCGGCGAGAGAGCCAGCAATCATGTCTACCTGGGAAGGGTCGACGTTTTGCGCTTCTGTAAGGCCCCGGCCAGTTCGGCCGAGGACGCCAAAAGACCAAGTCTCATCGAGGATGATGCGGAATTTGTACTTATGCTTCAGTTCAACCTGTATGTCTTGTTAGCCAATAATGGTCTCTTTTCTGTGGTGGCGAGGGCAGCGCTCAAGGCGAATCACTCACAAGTCTGGGCAGGTCCGCGCTGTCTCCCGTAATCTCAAAGAGGCCTTCAGAGACGATGAATCTTCTCGTCAACTTCTTGCCCTTCTGGTCCTTAACCACTTTCCGGATGACACGTTCAAGGTCGTCCATATCACCATGGTTGTACCACTTGATGGTGCTTCGGGACGCCTCCATACCCTTGCGAATGGAGTAGTTGACGGCGCGGTCAGCGACAATGATATCTCCGCGCTTGCAGAAGGCGGGGATAACACTCGAGATAGTAGAGAAGGCTTGGGCATACACAATGCAGGCTTCAGTACCAAGATAGGCGGCGATGTCTGCTTCGGTCTTCATGTGCACGTCCTGAGTGCCGTAGAATTGGGGAGGACCGCATGGGCCCACGCCGTAGGTGCGCAGCGTCTGGATGGCCTTGTCCTTAATCTGTTCGTTGGCATTGAAGTTATAGAAATTGTATGAAGCGAGGTTCGTGACGGTGCGTCCGTTTGCGAGCTTGGTCTTGGGACCGGTCGGTCTGGAAAATGTCAGCCAAGTGGTTCCCGAGCAAATGATCATCAACGGGAAAGGGGAGGTCGGTCATACCCAACAATCACAGGCAACCTCTCAGCCTCGATCTCCTCAAGAGCTGTTTGAGGAGCCACAAGCGGCTCCGGGGTCCAGTCTTCTACCAACTCGTCGATTTCCTAGCCACCAGCGTCAGTAAAAGGCTCGGGGCATCAGAGCCAAGAGGCCGGGAGAGGATGGCGAATTCAACGCACATCATCGCGGAGTTTGATGAAATTCTGCTTCTGGGTTGAATAGGAGGGCGATAAGAGATAGCGGACGAAGAATATGAAGAGAACTAGCTCGATGCCAGAGCGAATGGGATCGTTCTGGTAGCTCGATTGGATGTAGCGAATTAGAACGGCTGATCCAGGGACTTTTTGAAAGGCCTCGGAGGCCTCGTGCAGCCAGGCGATCAGCTTCGTTTGGGCCTCGCCAGCGTCCATGATGGCTTTGACGAGATGGCAGAGGTGGGATAATGTAGTTCGATCGCACGAGTTGACTGAAAGAGACGAATAGACGCGGGAGGCGGGTCGACAACTTGATGTGTTGTAGAATGGGGCAAGTTGTGAGCAGTCGCGGCCGAAGAATCCGGGCGTGCTACCTTTGTGAAGGAAATGAGGATGACGGGATGGTGCGTTGGACCGTCAGCCAATCCTGGTGTGATAGGTGCTTCGCGCCTGCTAAGGTAGGTACCTTGATGTAAGGTATGGAGCCCTGGGGTGATAGGTACAGAAACTCGGTGCTACAGTCAAAGGGGCGCAAGACACACGATGATGCAGGCTTTCCTTTCGGGACGCTCGTGTAGGATATTTGAGGTAACAAAGAGTTGACAAGGGGCCTTCGTGAGGGAACCCGAGGCAAGAAATCGACAAATCGACCAAGTCACAAGTGCGCTCAGGTCTTGAAAATGCGCCAAAGTGACAGCACCTCCGACGCGGTTTTTTTTCCCCGAGCGCGCCCCCTGGCGGTCGATCCTTTCATGTCCTTTCAACACACCTCTGATTGGCCCACAAGGTTCTCTGCCCCTGAGTACCTGGACAGCCCTGCGCCTTCGCATAATCCATCTATACCTCTTAAGGATGCAATGCTCGTTATTGCATTTCCACGCATAATACACTTGTGGTCCGGATACGGATACCTCACTTATTGACATTCACCTTACCCAGTTCTCCGAGGGCAAACACGGTCCTTCATCAATCATAAAACAGGCATGTAAGTACTCTCTTCTTCGATGGAAGGCATGACTCGTATCTTTGGCAACTCCCTCTCTCTCAGCCCACAAAAGCGAGTGGACTGGTCAGTCTGGTCACCTGCAGACATGCACAGAGCAGGCGCCTTGAACTCGGCACCTGAACCCAATAGAGGTAGCTACATACATCCCGAGTCGCGGACAACGAATTGCAGTGGGTCACATCAAATCATGGCAAATTACGACTTGGTAGGTAGGGCGTGTAAGTGAACAAAATGGGACTTGATTATACACCCGTCTAAGGTAGTCTCACTCTTGGCCTTTGGTGATATACGTAGTCTGCAGGCCTTCATAGCCGTGATTTCATGCCAGCCATGTTTTCCTGCCCGTACAAAAAGAGAAATGAATAGGTAGCAGTCGGAAAGACACAATACACGCCTGATAATGGACATTAAAAACCTGCCGCCGAAGTCTAGGTTGTTCGTCCTTCCTCGGAACGTCCCTAGACCGCTTGTGGAACGACGACTCTCTCTACCACCCCCAAATGCGTCTATGATACAGCTCGTACAATTAGAAAAGGCGCACTCTCTGCGAGTTGCTAGTCTTGGACGCCTTTGCCGACGATGAAGTCATCGTAAGGTAGGCTCCCGAGTAGTCTGCCGCTCCAGTTCCAGTCTCAGTCTCTCCACGCGTGTTGTCGTTGTTGAGGCTGGTAGGTTGGATCAGGGCCAGGTCCGTCGTGTCCAGAGACTTGAAGATGCTCATAGGGATCATGTCACCAGCAACGGCAGGGCCGATCATGAGAGCCATGAAGAGAATGAACATGGTGAAGTAGAGAATGGCATAGCGGAAGACACGCTTGCGTCTCAACTTGGACTGCTTCATCGAGTAGATTGGCGGGCGGATTTGGCGACTGTGAGGGGTTTGTTAGCAATGCTGGGGAACGGATTGTGGACAAGTGATAGTGATACATACCCAGGACGAAGCCAGAAGAGCATCATCGAGTGCAACATGTCAATCTTGGGCACAAGAATGACCGGAAGCATGATGAAGAGAAGGAAGTGGCCCAAGACAAAGTCGGCCGCGAACATGCTCAGCTCCGTAATCTTGCAGAGGAATTCACGGGCGGGCTGGGAAACTGAGTGCCATCCCATAGAATACCACTTGCCGGTCCAGAATGCAATGTTGGCCGCGTCCGTCTTGATCTCACGCGTCAAAGTCAGCGAGATAATCAGCTTGAAGACGAAACGTTGGATGGCGACCACGGCGATCATGCCAAGCAGAGTTCGGGCGAAATCGAAAGACTCGAGCAGGAACATGACCTCGAAGAAGACAAGCAACATGACCACGGCAATGCCGTGGGCAATCGCCGCAAGGACACTACCGAACTTCTTGCAGCACATGCTCAGAAGGGGACCCATGAAACAGGCCATGAAGAAGAACATCAACAGCGCGCCGGCGTTGACTGCGATAGGGGCCAGTGCGACAACTCCGACTCTGATCAAAGAGTTGGTGCGCTTGATCGCCGAAGATGAGGCGTCGGGGTTGTTGTCAGCAGAGACGCCGGTCTGGGCGTTGATGTACAGGTACGGGATGACAGTGACGGCCACGAGGAGCAGAGGAGTAAGAATCTCGCCCCAGAACATGTTGGTGATGGCCGCACGGGGTACGTCGGACGACATCTTGGCAGATGGGTCACCGAGAGCCTTGCGCTTGTAACCTGTAATACGGGTACGAGACAGACGGCAGAAGGCAATCCAGGAAGATGCGTGGGAGCGAGAGTTACCACGGGACAACCACCGCAAGAAGTCGCGGTAGTCGATGAAGAAATCGCTCCAAGCGAACTGATGCGGGTTGTACAGGAAGGGTGAAATAACCAGGGCGAGAAGGGAGATCCAGAAGTAGACGAGTGCGGCTTGCCAGATGGTGACGGTGGCGAAGAGAAGCATCATCAGGAGACGAGATCCGAAGTAAATCGAAGGGCCGGCAAAACGAGAGTACAAGACACCGAAGGGAATGCGAGCAGTCGCAAAGCCACGACCAGTACCGATGTACCGGGCACCGCCAAACGAGAGATCCTGCTGTACCGAATTTGCGTAAATCTGGCAAACGAAGACCTCGAAGAACGGCGAGAGGGAAGAGAACTGCTTGCCAAGACGCTTGGCGGCACGCCAGAAACCTCTCTCAGTCAACTCTTGGACGACCAGCGGCACGAAAGCCAAAAGCAACACGAAGATAATGGAGAGAATGCAGCGGTACACCCAATCCATGAGAGCATCGGTATTCTGGCAACCAGTAGGGAAGAGGGGATCGGTGATGGGAACGTCGCGGTTGTAGTCGCATGCCTTTGTTTCTTTCCGGAGGGCGCCCAAGCTGAGCAAGCAGATCATGAACATCTGGACGGACAACATAATGAACATGTTGTTGAGATGGAAACCAGGATGGGCGTAGTAGAAAGAAAGGAAGCGGTCCAGAGGCAGTTGAGTTCCGAGGTAGTAGTACTCGCGAGACAGCATCTGCTCACCCATACCAGTTCCAATCTTGGTGGTGAAGTTAAGAATTGAGCCGAAACCCAAATCACGACCCTTACCACACTGGTAGTACTCGCAGTGCTTGATCCTGCCACCACGCAAGATGGCGTTCATGCCGGCGTAAATATCCTCGTTGAGATGCAGACCCTTTTGGGCTTTGGAAACACCACCGCGGGTCGTCATGAAGATACCGTTGAGGAAATCCGGATGACCGTAATGAAGCTTGCCTCCAATCTGAGCAAGAGTACGGGCGAAGAGAGTACCGAATGTCTGTTCCTTTCCAGCAGCAACGTCACCGAGAATACCAATGTTCTCAGAGAAAATGTACTCGCGAGCACCAAGAATAGCGACAGGGTTGGTCATCTTGCTCTTGACACCAGGAGTGTAGGGGCTGACATTATCAGTCTTCATCTCCTCGAATTCGGCAAGGACGGATCGGATCTTGAGGCACTCCTCGAGGTAGTTGTCCTGGTTGGCGTCGATAAGCTGGATGTATTCACCGCGGTAGAAGATGAGCGAATGGTTCTGGTTGTCGGATTTGCCGTCTCCCAAGATGGGGTTGCCGGAAAGCTGAATGCGGAACTTGGGCTTGCGCATGCCGTTCTCCATAATCTCCGAGTGACCGTCGATGAGAGCAGAGTACAGACGAGGCTCCTCGCCCTCAGCCAGAGGGGGCTCTTCGTCGAGGTAGGCGATCTGAAGATCGGGGTAGGCACGAAGGAGGAACTCGGCGTTCTCCATCTCTTCCTTCTTGAACTTGGCGTAACGCTGCATGGAAACACAGAGCTTGAACTTGCGACGAGCCATGCGCTCGAGCTCACGCTCGAGCTTGTCGGAGTTGCCACCGAACATTTGGACAACCTCTGGGTTTTCCACGCGATACAAAAGCTTGATAGCTCTACTGTAATTCATGAAGCCAGAAATCGTGCGATACAAGGTCTGGAAGCGAAGAGATGCCCAGATACGGGTTCTGAGGGTGTACTCGGGGGCGGAAGATTTGAAACCAATGCAGTAGAAGGGCAAGTCGTCGATCTTGCTCTTGGCGGTGTCCTTTTCGTTCTTCTCGTTGGTGTTGCCGTCGCCGTTGAACTGGGAGGTCTCATCGGCCAGGATCTTTGTGTCCTTGACGAAGCAGTCCCATTCATGCGGGTGAAGCTGCTTGAGGTACTCAAGCAAAGTCACGCGAGAGTAGGGCTCATCCTCGCGAATAATCTCACGGAGAGAAAGCAGAATCTTTTCACTGTAGTGAGGAATGAGGACGGTGAAGGTCGGCATGTTATCGACTGGCACGGGCTCCGGGATAGGAGTCGACAGCGATTGAGCGAAGAAGGAAAGACGTCGCTCGGCTTCGCTGTCGGTAGGGAAGAACTCAGTCTTGAATGAGTGATCTTCCTGAGAAACGAAGAAAGTAGGCGCTCTCAATGTTCTCTTACCCTCCTGCTCGGAAGGGACCTGGTGGTAGAGAAGCTTCTGCACGTGGTCAATGGCCAACAAGTGCTCTCTGTACATGGAGATGACGATGGCGTTCCACACTTGGGAGATGAGGACCTTTGGCTTGTACTTGATCTCCATGTCGCCAGTAGCGAGAATCTTGGAGTAGATACGCTTGGGCAAGCGAGAGAAAATGTTTCTCCAAGGTGTCCAGATGGAAGAACCGATGTAAAAGGATCGGGCAATGGAGAAAATGGCATTGACCAAGACATACCACAGGTACGTGTCGAGGAAGAAGAAGATCAAATCGGTGAAGGCCATCAGAGCCAGAAGAACGTACGGCTGCTTCTTGCACAGAACATCGCCAATGATCTTGTCGCCGAGACACTCGATGTTCATAATGGTGAGGTATCGGATGGGATCTCTGAAGGACAAAGTCAGGTAGACGTAGGATTCTCCGAACTTGGCACCGAAGACAGCAACCCAGAGACCGTAGGACATGGCCATGTCATTGCCCTTCAAGCGCGGGTAGCTTGCCGTGAATGTCTGGCTGGCAACGTACTTGCGCGAGTTCTTGGTCAAGTAGCTGCCGAAGAGGCCGCCGAGCGGCATGACCGAGAAGAAGATGAAGGTAAGGAGCGCAATGATGAACTGCACAATGGCGAGGATCTTAGCAATCTGCTCATTGGGGTTCGGGAGGACGAAGACGTAGACGAAGGGCGCAACGTTGATGATGAGAATGAAGATCAGGAACAGGAGACGCTTGGTCAA